GGTGAACAGTACACCCATTTTTATTGAACTAGCAGAACGGTGAAAAAACTTCTGAAAACACACTTGATCACACGGTTGCTCAAGAACTTCATATTTTATGATTTATATGTTTTTTAGTTCTTTCAATATATAGTCTTCTGTATTTGATAACTAGGTAGTAAGATGTAAGAGTAAAACGTTACATTAATCTTCTCTTGCAAAATATTCAGTGTTTTGCTCCCGCGCATTAAAACGTGAACAGTAATTACCATATATTTAAAAACTTATTACGTAAATTACTGATATTAATTGTACAAGAAATTTATTTTTTTTAAATAGTCGTTCTCCTTGTAATAGTTCCGAGAAGAAAAAAGTGGGAGCTTTGAAAATATATGAGGTCAACTAAATGCTCGGAGTTCTTGTGGTTTAACAGCTTGGACCAAACCCCTGGCGTCTCTCCTCTTCACGATATATAATAAATTTTACAGTGAAAAAATTGTCTTTTTCTAATCGCCAAATTGCTGCTTGTTTAGCTGGCGCCTGCTAGTTTCTATGTTTTTCCTTGGCCTAAGTATTTTTACAAATATTTATTTCTGAGATTTATTCGTACCTGCAATTAGGACGTTATGATCACTTTGGTCTGACAGGAGACGGATATCATAGAAAGACCAAATTACAAATAATTATTTATTTAAAAGATAATGAGGTTCTTTTGTATCCGGGCGATGCTGAGCCGAACTGTGCAGTCTTCACTTGCTGCTACTCCAAGAGGAAATGGCCTGCCATTCTTTCAGTCAACCTTAGCAGTTCAGAAAACTCAAAATAGCGTTTACACGGCGGTTTGTATACGACTTGGACTCTGCCTGTCTTATTTGCACTAAGATCGCGGTTGTCCATGACAGGTCCTCCGTCGACCTCTCGTTGTACTCTTGTTAGAGAGATACTCTGAACTGGAACGTTTCCGCAAAGCGGTGGCGGTTGTCTGGGTCGCCGATACACAAAAGTAATGACAGGAAGACGAAGCGGCTCCAAACCACCTAAACTATTCACCGGGGCTAAAAATGCTATAAAAAATATGATCAAAAGGAAATGGCAGCGTCAGTCGATTGGGTCAGCAGAGAAGCTCGTCGATTGGTTGGAGTATCTTACTCGTAGAAGAGGAATCATTCTTACACGATTAAGAATAGGCCATGTGGTGTTTACACAAGGACACTTACTACTGAGCCAAAGCCCGCGTATATGCCCGGCCTATGGTTGCTTGATGTGTTCGACTTAATTGAAGGGTGTCTTGGTATGGTATGGTGGAAAGGATACTGGGAAGCGGGGCTCGTATTCCCAAGGCACTGCAGCCTTCTGGCTTATTGTACCTTCCCAGTTGCCTAGTTTAGTCAATAGACTCAATCCTTCTTCTCAGAAGTATCAGGTCATTGACTGTTATTGCTGCAATTTGGTTCCCTGAGTCTTTTTCGTACGTTAGGTTAAACCTCCATTGAGCTGTTGCTTCGCATTCGAAGATAATATGAGTGGCTGTTTCCTCCTCCTCATTACATAATATGCAAATGGAATCATCATTGTATATACCCATGTTGTGTGGACGTTTTCTCAGAAACCAGTGACCGGTTAGTAGTCCCACCACTCCTCTGAGTTTTGCCCTCTCCAATTGTAGCAGTGTTTTTGCCAATTTTGGTGAGGGTTGTTTCATCATAAGTTTACTATGTCTAGCACGCTCAAGTTTATCCACTTCTCTCTTAGTTTTGTTTGGATCCATTCTGCGATGGAGGATTCTATGTTTGTTTTTGTTATCCCAAGGATATGTTCGGGGCCTATGTATGGTCTTGCAGATCCTCCTCTGGCCAGTTTGTCTGCTTCTTCGTTACCCAGATTTCCCCTGTGCCCTGGCACCCAAGATATCATCAGGTTGTTGTGTTTTCCCAGGTTTTGGAGATTTTGGAGTAAATAGGGTGTCTTGGTTCCTCATAAAGAGAGTGAAGGACCACCACCAGATATGAAAATTGTGCTTGAGCACCAGTGAATATTTTGGGTCCGCTGTTCGATTTTTGAAGGAAACGATTATTTTACTGTATATAGTACTTGACAGTACTTTGTTTTGTGTTTGAGAGTGAATGTATTTATAAGAGTGAATGTGTAAATTGGGAGGGTCATGGTTGAATATTGAGTAATCCATCGACCCTCAATGAGATTAGTTTGATAATATGTGTAAAGGAAGTGTAGGAAGAATGTAGGAGTATTAAGTATTCCACCCTGACATGGAATACCACCTCCCTTTTCAAGAAAATAAATTAGATGATTGATTTTTTTTTAAAAGTAAAATATGAAATACTTAAGAAATATTAAAAAAAAAAAAGCAGATGAACCAGGAACATCTAAATAACTTCTCCCCACATAGGTTAACAAAATTCATTAAATATCAGTTTAAACATTACTTATTTTAGAATCTTTCATTATTGACAATGTTTTAAAAATGAGATATCATTCACCGATTTATTATTGTTGTTTAAAAAGGTTAGCATATTGTTCAATTTATTATTGTTGTTTTCCTGTAAAACAAAAATTACAATTAATTTTATATTTAATAAAAAAGTAATCAAGTTTATCTGGAAGGTCACAACTTTGAATTTAATACATCCTTTAGTTTTGCCCACAACACTCAACTGCACTGCGGGTGTGCATTGTTCCCTATTTCAGCCGCAACATATTTCAATTAATAAATGAAGGAATAGATATATTAAATAGGGTCTTGTGTTCCAATTTTTTTGAGTACAGGGCTGCTATAGTCTATACAATACAAATAAATATCTCGTTTTGTATTTCCTTTTGAGTATAGTGAGATTGAATGTATTTATTAGCGTGAATGTGTAGTGTGAGGGCCCACATTGGAATATTACCCCCAATAAAAAATGCTATAAATAGTTACAATTAATTAAGGTTTTTAGTTTCGATAAAAAAGTGAATGGCACGAGCGGGATTCGAACCCACAATCTTCAGCTAGATACGCCGCTGCTCTACCACTTGAGCTATCGTGACCTCCATCCACTCGGACGTCAACTTCCTATCTCAACCCCACCTTTTTAGTTTTTCCTCCTTAAATAATTCCGCTATAAATAGTACTACATCAACCTTCAATTAAATTAGTTATTCAATAAAGGGTGATGGTATGTAAATAAGAAAGAATGTTTTTCAGAATGAGTATGTATTTAAGTTTAAAAATTGTGTTTGTAAGCCAGGTCAGCAGAGAAGTTTCTAGGTGGTCCTCGGAGGATCTGAATTGTAGGAAAGAGGTAATCCTCACCCGATTAAGAATTGGCCATGTGATGTTGACATATGGCCACTTATTTTTGGGCCAAAGGCCGCTTATTTGTCCAGCATGTGTCTTTGAAATGTTCACCTTAATTGAAAGATGTCAGCATGAAGAAATGCCACTCGATATGAAAATTGTACTTGAGCAAGGCAATGAGTATTTGAATGCCCTGTTTATATTTTTGGAGGAAAGTGGATTGTACCAAGTATTCGTATTTTTCATTTAATTTTTATCTATATGTGAAGATAGAATGTTTAATTGAATTTATTAACATGAATGTGTAGTGTGAGAGGACCAGTGAAACCCATTCTCATCGACCCTCATTACATCAGTTATTAATGTGTCTAAACGGTGATGAAGACATTTCGAGTAAGCCACCACTCTAGCGGAATGAGTGATTTGTAAATAAGAATGTGGGTCATCTAGACTTAAAAACTCATGCATTGGGGGCTGAATCGGCCTGGCTTTTTACTGCCCCTGAGCCTAACTTCGGCAGTGCGACAGATATACCAAGGTCTGATCCCAGTCTGCCAAAAACCATATTAGGTGATTCTCACATCTTGCCACAATAATTCAAAACATTTTGTACATGTGTGCAGATTTGAGCTTACATATATAAGTAATCAGTAACCCAATAAAATGTCAAAATAATTTCTATACAATTTTCCAAATTGTGGGAGTAACAAGCAGTTATTTCTCTTTGTTAAGCAATTTTCCTTTGCAATGATTTCTGTTAATCTCTTGATCAACAGCCTTCACGTTTTGGCTTTACAAATTTTTATGGTCAAAGAAAAACGTAAGAACTACCAGCAATTTTTTTTAAAACTTTATATCAGAAATTGAAAGATTAATTTTTTTAAATTAATTTACCATCAGGATACTCAATGTAGATCCATTTCCTAAATTTGCTATTAACTTAATATAAATTATCATAAATTAAAAATTTGAATATTATGTGGAATGAAGTTATTTCAATTAATTATTCTTTTTATCTAAGGTCTTGGTAATGATGAAAAAGTTAGTGTCACAAGCGGGATTCGAACCATGACTGTACAATAATTATATCCATTGAACATACATGGATTAATATAGTTTACTTATTTGGACATTATATCAACTGTGGCCATCATTGCACAAAACTTTTCATTTTATCTTTTAAACTGCAATTTTGATTTATCAATTCCTCACATTGACAATGGGACTTCAAAGCCATGTGTAGAAATGTCAAATTGTAAAAAATCTATAATTCATTGGATTAACAAACTGATGTAAGACTCAGAATTTATGAAAATTTATCACATTTTAGTATAAAATATAAAATTCTGTCATTGGAATCGTTGTGTATAGTACATAGTAAATATAAAAACTACAATTATAGATTAATATTTACAGAATTTATCTACTTACGTGTAATAATTTGGTTTGGAAGTATTGGCCAGTTTATTTTGATTCCATTTATTTATTATTATATAAATTATATTTTGAACATTTACTCAGTACAAAAATGATTTAACTGTAAAACAGTCATGTTGTATTAATTTAACCAATCAGCTTGACTTTGAAAATTAATTCTATTTATGCCCAGCTTTACTAGGAATTCCTGATACCAACACATATTATTCAAAATAAAAATTATGGAGGGAAAATATTAATACATAAGGTATCTTATTCCCATTATTTTATTTTAACAGAAACAAGAAGATTATCTCCTATAAAAAATATAAATATTTTTACAAAAATTAATCTTCCAAAAAGAAATATTGCCCAGCCCGTTTCTGTTCAACATCCTGAAATCAAAAATAGCACGTGAGTGAATAAAACTTAAGATGACAAAAATAAACCATCTTACTTTGACAGAATTGTTCTTGTTTATTCTGGGTCGGAAATTATTAGGGTCCCTTCTGAAAGTGATTCCCAAAAGTTCCAAGAACCGATTCATCCCTGCAAGAAGATTCTGAGGAGTGTTGGCCACAGTCTTGACGGAAGGGACTCCCTCGAATACAATAACACGGTCAGCCAGGTATGTAGCCATTATAAAATCGTGCTCGACAACGAAACCGGTTTTCTTTGCGTGAAGTATAAACCTGTAAAGAGAAAAATATTTTTAACGTTGGTTTGTAATTTGTTTTTAAAAAATTTACCTTTTAATAACTTTGGCAGCGACAAGACGTTGCTCGGAATCTAAATAAGCCGATGGCTCATCAATAAGGTAAACATCAGCTGGTTTTCCCAAACAAAGAGCCATTGCTACTCTCTGAAGTTCACCTCCTGACAAGTTTTGGATTTCCTGATCCATTATATCATCGATCTTCATCGGTTTCATTACATCCGTTACAAACTGTGGATGGATATAGGCATCTCTGATTTTATCGTGTAACAACTGCCTTACAATTCCTGTAGATTTGGGGCTAATTTTCTGAGGCTTGTAGCTGATATTCAACTGGGGCAGGTCTCCTGAGCCATCATCAGGAGCGAGATTCCCAGCCAGCATTCGAATAAAAGTCGTCTTTCCCGTCCCATTTTCTCCGAGTAATACAACAATTTCAGAATCAGTGAACTGTCCTTGCTCAATACGCAACTGGAAATTTCCCATAGTTTTCGTCATGGTAGGGTATTCGTAATGCTGCATCCTTTTAACTTCTTCTTCAGTTGCACTTTCGGCTACTTTAAATATTAAAGATTCTTCTCTGAACCGGAGGTTTTCAGTTGGAACAAACCCATCAAGAAAGATATTAATCCCTAAAATGAATTATTGTATTAAAAATTAATGTTATAGTAGACAATAATCAATTAAATAAACTGGAATTGATTAAAGTAATTAAAATGTACCTTCTCGAACTGAAAATGGCATAGTGACTACACCATAAGCCCCAGGGACACCGTACAAACAGCAGATGAAGTCTGAGAGATAATCCAAAACTGATAAATCGTGCTCAACAACAATAATAAATCTAACAAAAAATTGTTTTAATTTGTAAACTGTCATTATTTTCTCTTTAAAAAAATTACTTGTCAGGTCGTATAAGATGTCGTATCGTGTAGGCAGCATTTAGACGCTGCTTTACATCCAGATAACTAGAAGGTTCATCAAACATGAATATATCCCCATCCTGTATGCAGACCATAGCACAGGCAAAGCGTTGCAATTCACCTCCTGACAAGTCTTCAATGGACCGATCTCTAATCTTGTCCAAATCTGGCAATGAGACAAATTATAAAATAGAACTGCAATCAAGGAGAACACAATAAATAGGACAATACCGAGTAAATCACAGATTTCATTCTGATTTTTCCTTTCATCCTTTCGGTCAAGGAGATGTTGTACAGTTCCCTTGACAGCTTTTGGAATTTGGTCAACATACTGCGGTTTGATGAGAGCCTTAAGATCATCTTCTAAAATTTTGGTGAAGTAGTTTTGCAATTCTGACCCTCGAAAGTGATTCAATATTTCTGTCCAATCAGGAGGTGAAGTGTATCTGCCTAAATTAGGCTTCTGTTTCCCAGCCAAAATCTTAAGAGCTGTCGACTTCCCAATTCCATTAGTACCGACTAACCCGAGCACTTCACCTGGCCTAGGAATCGGAAGTCTATGAAGTTTAAACGAATTCTGAGAATAACGATGCGTTGTGTCTCGCTCTAAATTACTTGGAAGATTGATGATAGTAATTGCTTCAAATGGACATTTCTAAAAAAAATTTCAAATAATATAATTAATGACGTAAAATTGAAATAAAAACTGTATCTTTTATAAGTACCTTAACACATATACCACAACCTATACAAAGCTCCTCTGATATAGCTGCCAATTTGTCATTTATGCTAACTTCAATACATAATTTTCCAGTCCTCACAACAGGACAAGACCTTTTGCACTCCTGATGACATCTTTTAGGCTTGCACTTGTCAGTATTTACAATAGCTATCCTCGTTAACTTATCGGACTCATCACCACCCTTACCCCTCGGCATTTTTCTGAAAGCATAAAGAAAAAAAATTAACAACTTATAACATTTGTTTCAGAAAAACATAATTATATATACGATATAACATATATTGTGTACCCATCGACCCCCAATTTGATTATGTTTATATGCGTGGAGGGTGATGAGGAAAATCAAGTACTCCACCACTCTAACTGAGTGAATGATACGTAAATAAGAAGAATGAATGAGTGTGGAGTGATTCTAGGTTTAAAAATTCAATGGGCAAGGTCGGCAGAGAAGTTTCTATGTATCATGAGTAGGTTGTTAGGTAGTCCTCAGAGGATCTGAATGGTAGAAATGGTATCATCCTTTTCTGGGCATGTCGAGATTTACACGACACTTGTTTTTGCACAAGTAAAGAAAGGTTACTTGACTTATTCCACTTGATTGAAGGATGTTAGCATGTAAGAACGCCATCGAATATGAGAATTGTGCTTGAGCATGGCAGCAAATGGGTCCCCTGTTTGTTTTGTGTTCGCAGCATGTGTTCATGCATGGTAAGTAAATAAAAAAGTGCATTTAAGAGTGAAAGAGTTTGGATTTAGAGACTGATTGCTTTGGTGGCTGAAATGACCTGGCTGTTAATAGCCCATGAAGCCCAACCTCGGTGGTGGCTGGAATAAGACAGAGGTATGACAAATAGACTGCCAACTAGGATGGGACATTCTCGAGACCTGCCAAAATTTATTGTAAATTGCAAAAGTTGGAATTGCCAGCGGACTGTGAGAAGTGATAGGCAAAACTCTACACATATGTACATTGATGTGATCCGTTAGACTTATATAAATCAGTAATCAGTAAATCGATAAAACTACTTAGAATGTATAAATTAATCATCTTCGATAAAGATTCATATCCTGTGGTTTTCTTTGAATTTACACAGTATACAATTTAATTTTAGTGTAACACGGTTTAAGGTAAATAGCTGGCAAAAGTAATATAATCATGAGATGCGATCTGGTGTGATGTAGGTATCAGAAAAACACTTTCTTTGTCGTGCCAACGTTTCTATCTTTATTGAGATCATCTTCATGACTCAAAGTGTTTGTTTTCTGCGTAATTGTGCAATTCTTGCATGTTGTGTTGAGAGTTCCCTGAGGGACCTACATCATACCAGACCGCATCTCACGATTTCCGAATAATCATCGACTAATTGTCACTAATCACCACACAAGTAATATAATTATTTGAAATAGGCCTATCTATTTACTACTTCATTTTCTTTTCCTGGTTATATAAAACGTTTTGGACTTAATAGTTTTGACATTGATTTCTAAGTGAAGTAAGCTAGAAAATGGTAATATTGAAAAACTGACCCTCCCGTTTTACAACTTCAGGGATACAATTTTCTTTTAAAAAATGGGGTTAAATTGTTTAAGGTTAGTTTTTTTTCTGAAAGTGTTAAACTCATGTCTTTTGTTAGCTACCAAACTTTTACTGATCCCATCAGCAGGCTACATGGTTATGAAATCTGATGGCTTTAATGAGAAAAGCACTTGTTTATGTTTATAGCTTACTTTCTTTAGCCACTAAAACGTAAATAATTGCATTCTGAGCTAAAATGCACCGCGATAAAGCGATAAAATGCCATCATTTGATACGATTTGATTCCGATTAGAAGTCACTGCTGAGCGAGAGTTGAAAATTCCATATGCTGAGGACTTATCATGGCCAATCTGATGCATGTGATGAAACTTTTCAACTCGTATCAAACCAGTTGAGAAGTCCGAAGATGCACTTACAAAGCTAAAAGCGTAATTTATAACAATTTACCTTGTTTATTGACCGAACAATATGTTAAAAAACGGGTAAAAACGTCGAAGGGAGGCTACACTCTCACTGGACACACGAGAAGGGAGGCCACGAGAGCTTTCACCTTGAATCAATTTTTACACTAGAATTATTTCGCCCTTTCTTCTTGTCTGTTGGGCTAAAGTTAAAAAATTTTCCTGTTGTTGTTAATGGATAGGTATAAAATTTTGTGGTTAGCGTTTCGTTGGAATTTGGTAGAAATATACGGTTATAGTTTAAGGAAGCAGCACCAGCGACACTTCATACTTCAGAGCCACAAATCAAGCTTTTTTAAACAAATTAACTTTTTTTTTTTTAAAGAAACTTTATTAAAAAATACATTCCTACTTAAAAATTTAAGCGTTAACAAAAAAACTTTATGTATAATTTGTTAATATCTGAGATGTCATTCTTTCTTTTGAAAAATTCAAGATACTCAGTGTAGTAATTATTGTCTTCATTAGATGGTGCAATAGTAACTCAGTCAATCCTTTACTTTTTCGTATTAAACCAATCCTTCAGAAGATGCACACTAGTAAACTGGGCCAAATGGGTAAGAAATATAACTTGGTTTACCTTAATTATTACTGTTTTATCAAACTCATATCTGCACAGCAAGTACAAACATACACACGTGTACAGAGTTGAGCCTATCACTTCTTGCAGTCCACCGGCAATTCCAGCTTTTGTAATTTACAATAAATTACCGGCAGGTCTCGAGAATCACCCACCACGGGAGTTGACAGTCTGGAGTCAGACCTTGGTCTTATACTTCCAACCGCCGAGGTTGAGCTCGAGGGGCTATCAGCAGCTAAGTCATTTCAGCCCCCAATGCAGTCATTCACACTCACACTCAAAAAGCAGATTATTTCCAATCTATTCACTCAATGGAATACTTGATATTCGATCTCGGTCTTCTCACACTACATTCACTCCAATAAATACATTCAGTCTCAACACACACTAAGAACATAAAATTAAGAGTACTACGTACAATAAAAAAAACCTGTTTCCTCTAAGTCGGAACAGAGGACACAAATACTCACCGCCGAGGTTGGGCTCAAGGCTGGGAGCTATCAACCAGCTAGGTCATTTCAGCCCCCAAAGCAATCAGTCTCTAAATCAAACCCTCTCACTCTTAAATTTAATACGTTCTTTCCTATTTACACATCATTCACTCAGTTAGGATGGTGAAGTTTTTAATATTCCTCCATTATCCTCCATGCATATAACATAACTAATCTAATTGAAGATCGATGGGGTACTCAATATTCCGCCATCTCTCTCTCACTAAACATTTACGCCAACTCTCCACACACGCTAGGGACACAAAACTATCAACACTAAAAACAATTTCAATTAATTAATATTTATGTAAGGTATTGGTTGAAATGAAAAAGTGTCACGAGCGGGATTCGAACCCACGACCTTCGGCTCAATACGCCGCTGCTCTAACCACTTGAGCTATCGTGACTTCGATCCACTCGGACACCAACTCCCCATCTCAACTTACCTTTCGAATTTTCCCTCCTTTTGCTTCCAATGCTACCATTGGAACGGAAGACCCTCTGATGCCATGCTCAAGCACGATTCTCATATTGGGTGGCATTCCTACGCGCTTTAAACATGGAGCCAAGGAGTTGCACCAATCAATTAGGTGGGGCACATATGCGGGCTTTGGCTCAAGAGTGTCCGTGTGTCCTTAATCTCGTCAGGTCTCCGAGGGCTACCTATCGACAGTACTCATGATGCGCAAGAGCTTCTCTGCTGATCCGGCCACTTATACTTATATATACTTTTTCTTATTAACCCAACCCTATTCAGGAAGATGTTAATATTAATAAATTAATTAACACAATTAATAAATTGTGCCAAATAGAGCTCTGGCTACCTATCTATATCTAACTGTTTGTTAAGTTGGCCCAATTGACAATTCCCATAGCCCACCGTTGGCCAATTTATGTAGCAAAGTTAGGTCAAAGCATAAGCAAACATTAAATTGGCCGAATTTACATTCACCCCAGTTTTTATGACATACCCAACATAAAAACGATCAAACTGCTGACGGTCATCTTGTCCTTTAGTCTACTTACATTTCAGTGGAATACAGAATCTTGTGTTCTGGCATATCATCACACATATGTTTGTATAGCATGCTATAATTGGTTTTGTGTTATGAAAGCCGAAGGGTTGGTGTAAATTTTGAACATAATGTGGCCTCACAGAAAAAAGTCAAATATGCTCTCTTCCCAACTTCCTCTACGAACAAATTTTACATTCCCACAAGATTCAAAGTTGTTAATCAATCACATAATGAATGCTGGTGTGGTGCTGGCCGCTCGAGGTTATCTTGTTTAAATTTTTCCGAAATAATGCGAGATTTTTTCTTGGGGTCTGCGGGGTGATGAACCTGTAACTGAGGTGTGATGAACTGAGCCTTTACCGATTATTCTGGTTTATAAAAAGAATCACACAGACACACTGAAAATAACGAAACGCACTTGCCAGACCACCAAGCGTGGATGGCAGACCAAAAACGTTGGTTATAAATAAATTGTACTGCAAATTATTAATGTAATTAATTTATTAAGTTTACATTATATATAAAATCAATTCTTTTAGTGTTCACCAAGAAATTAGTTTTAATTAGAAAATTTCACCAGATTCCATTTAATCATGTGGTGCTTTGTTTGTATCACGGTACCTACTTCGAAAAATGCACCACAAAACTTTGGTAAAAGACTTCTCTGAGATTGTGACTGAACACAGCATACGCGTACATGTGTGATGCATTTTTCGACGTATCAAAGAACAAACAATCCATCCGTTTATATACAAAAACGTTGATGACATACGCAAATACACCACTGAAGATGTCTAAAGACTAAACCAGCGAGGATAGTCACATTTGCAAAAGTAGTTCTTATGTTTTTTATAGTGTATTTTTTGTGTATTGGCCCATTGGCCTTAAAGACCATTTTTTCACCAATTTTCTAATACCGGTGTCTCTATTTAACATTATTTGCATAAATGGCAGTGACAGACTGGCAGTTTTCGTCTTGCGATTTAATCTCTGTTCTTCCTAGCATCCTCGTCTGATAAATCGTAAAAAGTTTTTCCCTGTTCTTTCTGGGTTTTTTTCTGCTATATCTAAATCTTTAGTCGGTCTTGTCAAAAACTATTAAAAGATTTCTGCTTCCGCATGTTTAAGTTTTGAGTCTCTAAGTTTGAGCTTTGGATCTTTACCTTGCCAGATTTTCGTTTCCCGTTTTCGGTTAATTGTTTCGTACAATACTATTTCCCCCTTACCACATCTTCATATAGAACCGACAAAACGGTTTAAATATTACAGTTAGAAAAGCAGTTATCAAAACGTTATAAGGAAAAAATCTTTTGGGACGGTGACTGTCTTAATGATGAAGACTTTTACGTGTCCACGATGTGTGACAGTGATTTTCCGTTGACAAACCAGTTCGGGTCCAACATCTCCTCCGCACCAGAGCTTGATCGAATTCGGTACAAATCATGACACTGTCATCGTTTTTCGACAACGATCATATTGCAATACATTCCCCGACTAATGAACGTGGAGGTGAACATATTTCGTACAACCCTCACTGGTATGTGACTTTATATCAGTGTAAGCTCTGTTTTGGATTAAGCGCTTCTTACTAAACATGTAGTCAACTCTGAACAATTCCCGGATTTGTATTTCTGTCCGTTAAAAAAATAAATAAGTAGGCGGTATTGTCCAAATTACATATAAATTAATATACGTTAGAGTATAGACGTTATTGTTTAATACTATTTTTAAAAAATTTTGTTCAATTAGCCGAAATCTATTTTGAAAACCACATCTGCGGGTAAATGAATTTGTATAGTTCGATCATTTCGCCTTTCTATCTTCGCTGGTTATGCCTATCGGACGCGTCTCAGTTTTGATTTTTCTTTTTTACGAGGGTTCGCAACAGCAGAGGTCATATAAACCTCAGGGTGCCGGTGTTTTTGAAAAAAAGCCCATTTGTAAGTACATATGTCGGGTTCGATTACAGAGCCGCTGGATTCGAACCCGGGACCTTTACCTTATAGTGATGAGCGCCGTGTAAACGACGAAACCTTGCGGCCACCGACGCCCCCTCGGTTTCTTGTACTGGTTTATGTACTGTAGTTAGGTATTTTTATGTTTAAGTCAAGGTTAAGTAAGTGTATTTAAAATAAGTTGGATTATAATAAGTAAATTCACGTGGTGTAGCAGAAATGACCGACAAATTTTCACCGTCTGACGCGTCTATTGTTTCTTGTTGTCGAATTCTCCATTTTAATGATAGAATAGTAAAATTATTAGTTGGAATTCAGTCAATCTTAGTTAAGTAGTAAAAGATTCCACCTTCAATTCCACTAGCGTCTACCGCAAGGATTGATTAATGAAAAAGTTGATACTTCAGAAAATGGCCGCTTGTTTTGCGACCCGATGAACTATTTATAGTCTGTTCGCTCTATAATAATTTATTAATTATTAAAGTTATTAAAGATTTAAGTTATTACGCGTCAGTTTTCGGAGAAAAGACAGAAACTATGTTTAAATTATTTTTATAAAATGTTAGATGACATAATTAATGTATATTCTTCCTCTTTTGTATACTCATACACCCAGTTATTCAAAAATATTTAATTCTTTAACGATTTTCTTAGTATTAGGGAAGAGGGGGAAGAAGGTTCATTGTTAAATTCTTCCCAGACCATTTACAGCAGCCTTGTTTTAAAAAATAGCTTTAGAATTTGATTGATGAATTTTATATTGTCAATGTGTTCAAAAAGTAATATTTTAATTGATTCATAGCCATAAAACTAAATGAACTAAAGAAATAAGAATAAGTATAAAATAACACAACCTATTTGCTATCTCCCACACACACATATATAACTTTTAACTAGAAACATTGATCTTATAGGAAAGGAGGTGGCCATAAGGGCAGCACTCAATCAGCACTTTCTGCGCTCACCCTGCTTGCTTTCTTGTTTTTTCTCAATATACTCCAAGTAAGAAGAAACATATTTTACTTATATATCATACATTTTTATAATAACGCAGAACACTCTGAAAGAGCTGTTTAAGAGATCAAATGCTAAACCAAGTTCCGATAACGATAATGATGACAACTACGACTACATCTACAACAACCTCTGAAGGGCAGAGATTGAAAAGAGAAACCGATAAAAATAACTACAAAGGACACCCGCCTACATTTAAGGTAATTTTACAATTTTTGTTTCTTTTTTATAAAAAGCGAAATCCCATGAAAGAATTTTCCAATTAACTAAGATTTTGAAATATTCTTTATGGGTACACATGATCTAGATAACTTGTTTCAGAAAGAGACCACTGACAGCACATTTGACAACTCGGCAGATAGATTTTCAGCCTGGATATACGACAGGGTTTGTTGCAAAGATTGTGAACCCAAGAATATAAAATCAAAGAAAGAAACTTTTGAAAACTATTTAAGGTAAATTATTTCATTGCATTTAGCTTTATATTTTTTTATGGGCAAACGATAATTATGAAAATACATTCAATACATTTACGTTACAGCATTATGAAAACAAATTTATTGTCTTGTTTTCATTTTTCTTGATTATTGTGTATACTACATTGTTTATAAACAATGCACTTTTACTATATTTAACAATTTAGTAAATCGGGTTTATAATAGATTTTAGCTTTAAAAAAAAAGTGTCTCTCAACTTTCATTATATAGTCACAAAAGTGAACATTTTTAACGAACCACTAGAATTATTGTTGATTCTTAATAAATGAAACTAAAACTAAATAAGCTATAAACAAAAATCCTGCTACCCAAACCTTTAGGAAAAATTACACTTAATTAAACCACGTTTCATACTTAATTAGTACGAAAACCTGAGAAAAGGAACAATAAATTGGGTAAATCAATTTAAAAAACGTGAGTACATTTTATTTGCCTTTAAAGAGAAATACAAACAATACTGATTGCTAGTTACAAATAAAAATATATACACATGGCAAGGCATTACTACATCAATAAACTGGAATGTACTGTAACTGGCTCATTTATTCTGAAATAAAAGTATACAAATTAAAAAAAGAAATATATGTATAACAAAGCTGCACACAAAAAAAAAAAAAAAAAATCATTCTCAAGCTATAAATATTAATTTATTAAACTTGAATTGTATCGCAATTAAATTTTTTGACTTTGGACTTATTTTTTAATGTTTTATGATATTCTTCAATACTTCAGACTTCAATAATTTTTGCTTTTTTTAAACTGAGTAATTAAACAATAAAAAAATACTTACATTTTTAGAGATTAATTCTTCATCCCTTAATTATGATAATATAAGAGGGCTAATTGCCACCAAAACATCTAAAACAAGCAATATGAAAAATTACCCATCTCTCAAGGCTAGAAGTCCTAGAATCAAGTTTATTAAAAAGTTCTTTTGATATTTTTCAACACTCAAATTTTCCATTGCGTAGTTACATAAGTAACTGGAGTAAGAATTAACAATTACAGCTTATTAACTTAAACTACCTAAACCAAGTAAAAAATAACTCAAATAGAACCCAACAAGCCTTCATGATTAAATGATCGTATATTAATATAATTAAGTAAAACAGCTAATTTTATGTACTCAATAGGAAATTTTTAAAAAAGTAAGTACTTCCTGTCATTCAGGAGGGCTTAATATCCAACTACGCATTGTGTGTCATGGACAAGAGATCAATCCACTTTACAATAAATACATTGTTCATACCGATAATAATTAAAAAGCCCCATGGGCTCTGTCAGGATTCAAACCCAGAACCACTAGCGTAGCAAATGGTTCAAACAGCCTAACCACTCTGCCGCCACGGACCCATAGTACTCTGTAGTTATGAAGACATGCAATCTACAATTTAGCGACTAACAGTACACCAATGTGTAGGAAAACGAACTGTTGAATATGGTCTTCTTAAGAAATAAATATTTCTCAGTTTATCTAAAATTTAACTTTTTTTTTACTGTACTTGACATTTCTACCCTGGTCTATATACCTATGTATCCACACTGGTTTAAATACATTTCGACAACAAACGTTTTATGACACAACCAGCAAAATCTCACATACGAAAGTTGGCAAAACACCTGATAGACCAAACCAGTATGACAAAAGTGGCTAAACTACAAATAAAATTTACAAAAAACTGAACTTAAAACGAATTATAAGCACCAAGTAAATGCAAAATTTTACTCTTTAAAACAATCGTTTTATTGAATGATGAATTATTTAAAACTCTCGCTGACAAAAGATTTGAAAAATATTTATTGCATAAATCGGCGAACATTTTCCATGTCAATGTTGTCTTCCACTAAATTGATTAGCAAAATCCGTGTTCATGGATATCAGCCAAAGGGATCAAACATAAATTTTCAAACCCAAAGATCTACATGTTGATCCAAACTACGGATCTGCAATAGTCATGAAAAAGTCTTATTTGCCTGTTCATTTTATTTTTATTTTCCCTACACCAGAAAAAAAATCAATTAAATTTGTTAGCCAAAGTTTTTAACTTGATTAAATACAAATACTATAAATCAAAAGCTTTTAGGATAAAAAATAGTAATCTTTCTAAAACAAAATGTTTAAAAAAAGGCAAAAGGAAAAATCTATTGTTTTGTGCTTAATAACCTATTATTACACTCATCAGTGAGTCCCCCTCCACGGAAATCTTTAGTAAAAGGTGAAAGATTTATTTGTTATGAAGGGAGACCAGAGTCAAGAGCAAGACCGGTAGATGGCCCTCAGAGAACCTGAGCAGGAGTCGAGGGATCGTCCTCACCCGACTGAGTTTTGGAGTGGTTGACACATGGGCACCTGCTTTTGGGCCAAAGCTCGCACAGGTGCCCCTTATGCAGAGAAAGGTTGCTCGATGTGTCCCACATAATAGAGGCGTGTCATTCCTAGGCTCCATACAGAGCGTGTAGGCATGCCGCCGGACTTAAGAAGAGTTCTTGAACATGGTAACGAGTTTCAGAGTTACCCTGTTCCGCTTTTTAGGGGAAATTGGTTTTTTTTATTGTATATAATGTCTTAAGTGTTGTATATATGTTTTGTCTGAGTGCATGTATTTATTAGCGTGAATGGCGAGGGGTGAGGGTGAAATATAATGTCATTAACCATCCCTACTCCACCGATCAAACAGAATGAGTGTACTGTATGGATGTATTTATGTGTATGAATGAATTTATTTGTATGAATGTAGTGTTTGAAAGAGTAAATAGTATATAGACTTAGTTGGCGGCTGAAATGACCTAGATGTCAGAAGCGCCAGTCTTAAAAAAAAAAAAACTATTATTTATTACTTTAGCCCTGAGGAATATCAGGTACTCAGGGATAAGTGTGTGACATCGGAAGTATAAAAGTAAGTTATTAGCGAGGCTGGAGTGGGTTCAACCCCACCCTGAGGAATATCAAGTACTCTGGATCGAGTACCAGACATCTATGTTTGTAGTGATGTATATACATGTATGGTTATGTTTTGTTTCTATTCTGTATTTTAACAACCTGAGGTACAAACGAGAGAATATTGACATAATATACATCTAAAAGCAGAGAGACCATATCAAAACGCTCAAATGACTGCAGCTTAAAACACTCACATAATGTATATAGCCTCAAAGTCCCTAGCAATATTGGGAATGATTCAGTCTTAAAGGAAATTTGAGATCGCCTGTAAAAAAACAAATATGTCAATCCGTAGACATATTTAAGATCGTTTTCCCTGACAATGACCTTAAAATAGGTCGAAAGTTTGGCAGTAACAACTCTATTTGCTTTCTTCTTCAAGACCATACCTTGATCCAAAGTGTTCGCTAATGTTTTGATAGTAACCTATTATTTATAATAATATATTTTTGTAATTACCTTATAATTTGGATGTAGAAATTAAAAATTGGTTTTGTATACAAATTGAATGTAACGCTTATTTTAATTTCTAGGAAAAGTGTTATAATGATTTGCGAATTGTTTGAAGCAGATTCTGCAAAAACCTGCCAAAATGAATCCGAGTACAGCAGCAATCAAGGGTATAAAGATGAAACAAGCACCAAAACTTAATCCCCGAGCAATTCAATCCTTTGGATTTGAGTTTTGACGTGGAAGAGGTGGCTTAGGACAGGAAAAAAGTTCCTAGCATTAGAATGGTTATTAATTACAAAAGTGTACATAAAGCAGATTTTTTTTTTAATTTTTAAAAATATAAATGTGCATGTAAAATATAAATAATAAATTAAATAATGAAAACAATTAAATTAAATAAAAATAAAAACAGTAAAAATTAAGCACTTTATCATGCTGATGATGGAACTTTTTTTTTTGTTTAAGTGTAGAACAATCAGATGTTAATTACTTTAACTAATTTAAACAGAAAACAACAGAATTTGCTTCAATGGAAGCAATAAAAACGAAACAAAAATGTAATTGAATATGTTGTGCATTGTTGTTAAGTGCCGGTTCATCTATGCCAGATGGAAAATGCCATGCCGGTCTTATTTGTACCAAAGTCCTGGAAAATAATTCAATACAGTGAAAAACTATATCTAGATATTGTACTTAATAATTGTTTCCTAATGCAAATATATTTAATTAATTGAATTTATTTTGTACAATACGAAACTTTGAAAGTTAGGCAATATATCAATAAAAAATTATCAAGAGATAAATACAATAATGTACTTACCTTAATAAAAAGCAATTCAAAAACACTGGTTATAGTTCACGACCAAGTTTGGCAATTGATAAATAGAATGTGTAAATGATAAATTATAATACAATATGTTAAGTTAAATACAAGAAAACTTAAATTGTTAGCCTAGCGGATAAGTTTTCACAATAATATCTATATCATAGTACAGAATTTAAAAAAATATAAAATGCATTATTTGTAATTTCTCAAGAAACAGTAGAACTTTTCAAAATAGAAATTTCAGTTTTATAATAAATAGGACGCTTGACAAAACGTATACAAACAACTTGTTTGTTCAATATAGTAAAACTTAAAATTAAGCATTTTGGCCAAACTTGGTTGTAAAATGTTGTCACAAGCTCTCAATGTTTTGTAATCTTTGCTGAATATCACTTGTAATTCAAATTAAATTTACATGAGGTTAAATGTGTGTACTCTTTGTTCCTTAGCAGAATAAATTTAATAAATTCGTAATTATCAAGCGGCAACGATGAACTGAGCAAACTAGATTTTATTCGACAATGAACCTAATTTGTGTAATCACATAATGACCAGTACCATTAGAACATTAGCACAGCACCAAATAAAGTTTTTTATTTGAAAATATTTGAACTTTGTTAGAAACGACACTGCCAAAAAATCCTCTTTTACATAAGATTTAAGGAGGAAAAAATTACCCAATTCAACTTAAACCTCCCGCATCCCAGGTAAGATAATTAGATGGTCAAGTAAGGCGTAAAGCATAAAACCACAGGATTTTATCAGTGTAAAAAAATACAGTAAGAATAAAACAGTCCGATAATTGGTTAAAACAAAAACAAAAGATTTCCCTTTCATTAAACATACTCAAGAGGAAAAAACTTTTATTTTCACCAAAACAAAATTTTAATAAATAAAAAGTTGACATTAGATCAACCAGACATTTAAAAGATTAATTTCTTAATGAATGGGAAAAAGTATTCTCTAGTAATATTGTACAAAGACAAAAATTTCCACTCTTTTGACCATCTGGAGGAGGCATGGATTATTGGATTTTAACCCTTTTTACTTTGGGATTTTTACTTTAACACAATGACTGCGTAAGATACAACACATACTATTGTAGTTTCAGCAGCCATTGTTAGAAAACAAATGCTTCTGCTGTAGCTGTTTTTGATGAGCAACCATCAAAGTTAGAAAACGAACGCTTCTGCTGCTATAATTGTTGTGGCCTCAGCATTAATCACAGTTATGAAACAAACATCATACCAACTGTCATTCTAAGTGTTTAATCTGTGACCACCTGTTTGTACTTTTTCAACTCTCCCACCCCTTCACGAGATACACAATTCCGGACAAAATTTCAAGGCCACCTTAGAAAGGGTAAAAGTGTCTGTAGCTATGGTCATTACAAAAATAAAAATAAAAATTAATTACAATTAATTAAGGTTTTTAGTTGAGATAAAAAAGTCAATGGCACGAGCGGGATTCGAACCCACAATCTTTGGCTGGATACGCCGCTGCTCTACCACTTGAGCTATCGTGACCTCGATCCACTCAGACACCAACCTCCCATCTCAACCGCACCTTTTGAATTTTCCCTCTTTTTTGCCATTTTACAAATGTCGTGTAATCAAATGTCGTCAAGAATCCAATCCGATTACATGACATCTGAAAAATGGCAAAAAGGAGGGAAAATTCAAAAGGTGCGGTTGAGATGGGAAGTTGATGTCCGAGTGGATCGAGGTCACGATAGCTCAAGTGGTAGAGCAGCGGCGAATTAAGCCGAAGATCGTAGGTTTGAATCCCATTCGTGCCACTGACTTTTTTATCTCAACTAAAAACTTTAATTAATTGTAATATATTAATTGGTCAAGTGGTCCACGAAATTAGTGAATAAAAATTAATGTATAAACGATTTTGTTAAACTTCATACCCAAATTGAACAAACATTCTGGGTGGCCTACTTCATTTACTGCTGTACAGGATGAAACTTTTCTTTTATAACTTTGGTTAGGACTTAAAAAAAATTATTTACATTATTTTTAAATACCAGAGAGAAATTTTATAATTGGGCTCTGCCATGGACAACCAAAATGATAAAGCATAGGATAGAGTTAACATGTTAAATAATATTTGAGCGTGGCCTGTTATGGACAAAACAATCTGACATTAATAAATTAAATAAATAATTTATTAACAAGAACTAGGGTTTTCTGTAAAAGGAATTTCATATGAAAGCTGGTTTTCTTAGATTGGAGATTTTACCCTCTGCCATAAATATTTCTTAAGTTGCAATGCCATATTTTCCAATGTTACAATAACAAATTAAATCAATATCATTGAATCTAAAGGGTTGTATGTCAAATAAAAGTATATTTAGGTGTATTATTTCAAAATATACATTTGTTTTATTACTTTTTATGAATTAGTTTTACTGAAGTAATTGTTTAAATTTTGCCTACGTAAATTGTTTAAACATATAATAATCGTCCATCAGTTCAATTAATTATTTGTATTAAATTAAAATACAAAAACACCAAGCTTATGAGGTAAAACTTGCTCCTCAAATTAATTATAATACAGTTGTACCAAATCTAAGTTTATATTAAAAAGAAAAATATAAACAATAGTAGGTGGTAAGGCGATATATTGGTATATTGCAGTACTGCCTAACACAAAAATATACAATTGAATCAAAATCGAGGTAAATGATTTATGGAATAACAGTTACCTTGCCACCAAATTAAAATAAATAGATTTCTTACAGATATTATAAAATTAACAATTTACAAGACATTTATTACTCACATCCCAAAATTTTTTTAGTGTAAAGTTGTCAAATCATCATGAAAAAGACAGATTTGTCAGAACTGTTTAAGAAACAAGCTGAAATATAAACAATAAAAATAAAGATTAAAACTTTTTCCAGGCTACCTCTTCTGCTATTAAATGTCTTTCCACCAATCTATTCTAAAAAAACTAGATATTGGAAAATTATTATAAAATTTTATTGAAGGAAATGTGATTTTGAAATAAATAAAAATATACGTATGCAATGTTTATGAAAAATATAATAAAACTCGATTCTATTGAAACATCAGTGCGAAATTCTGATTTCAAAGGGACTGCAGTTGATTAAAGTTATTTTCATATTAAACATAAGTGTGTTTAGATAATGAAACAGTACAATACATTGACTGATATTTATAAAGAAAGATTATTTACAAAAAAATTCTAAATCATAAACAAATTTAAATGTGTTAAATATAAAACACAAATTGCGTTATAGAACAATTTATCATTTGGTAGACAAGTGGGCAGAATAATAACTTAAATCATCCTCTGGAAGATCATTTTGAAATTCAAACATAATTATTATACTTTTTCTCTTAACCCAACCTTCATGAATCTGGATTGTTTAAATATCATTTTAATAAACTGTGGTCTGCGAGGTAATGAACCTATAGCTTGATTATCTCTAATCAGCCTATTCTGCCTACTCTTTTGACAATTCAGTCTTCGGTGGTTGATTTTTGTAATGCCAAAATGAATCTTGATAGGCAAAACCAACAAGAATAGGCAGGCAAGGATAACTGAAGACGATCTGTCTACAAAATATATGTATTTTTTATTTTTATTCTAAGACAAAATAAAATTGCACGAAGAAAATTTATTTATAATAAATGAAAATCTTTTCTTGACAATCAATGTGTCATACATTGATTGACCGGTTCATCTTGAATCTCCTTAAAACTTAAAAAAAAAATGAACATGTAAGGGATAAAAATTATATCTTTTGTATTCTTAAAAAATAATAATTTGGTAATGAAAAATAAACGGCCAACAGATGGAATCCCTTGAGAAAGGTTTTGTTCCTTTTTGGTGGGAAACAGCAAAATGAGTAAAGGATGAAAATTTGTATATTAATATTAATGCTAGGTAAACATCTAGAAGTATTACTTTCTAAAAAATTGAGATCCTGTTCAAATATATTTTGTTTGAGCCAGCTTGTGCTGCCCACTGTTAGGATCCATCATTCTGGTCCAATCTGTCTGGCCCACCACGAACCCGATTGCTCTCATCTTCTCCTGTTCTCGCCGCTCCTCCAAGTCTGCCCACCGAACCTAAAACAATAAAAAAAAAATTGAATCAACAATAAAATCAAATGACATTGTTTAACAATTAATTTAAGATAAGTTGAGGTTTTTTAATAGATAACTTTACTTTTCTATAAGTTTCTATAAGAAAACCCCACAGGATTGGTACAAATGGTCTTTAATAATTTAGTTTCGCAAATCGTAAAAATTTTTAAGACTAATTTAAAATTTCTGTTTACTTAAAAAAAATAAGCATTTTCATTTAATGATTTTGTTAAAAGACTCAAGAAAGTAAATAATTATTCAGATATCGTGAGAGTAAATAATAATACGTGGGAGCGAGCAAATATTCAGGACCTGGCACTAGCTATGACTAATCGCTAGCTAAGACTAGGTCCTATTCCAGGACATTTCTATGGGCATCTTTCCAGTTACATTTTATCATCTTTTATGTACATACAAATTATAAAGGTTTTATTTTAATATCATGATAAAATAGTGAGAATTGTCGATTATCTGAGTCAAGTAGCACTTTGGTAAACAGCAATTTAGCCAGGAATCCATCAAAACCTACCAGAGAACCAAGACACCAAGATCTTTTAATTAATTATTTTTTATTTATTTTCATTATTTTTATACATCAAGATTTCCTCTGCTTTGGTACAAGCTATAACATCAGTATTAAAATTAATTATAATTTTTATCTAAGTCTTGTTTGATATGAAAAAGCTAGTATCATGAGCGAGATGCAAACCCACGACCTTCGTCTCAATACGCTGATGCTCTAGACAACTGATCTATTGTGACTTCGATCCACTCGGACACCAACTTCTCATCTCAACCAATACCCTTTTGAATTATCCCTCTTTTTGCCATATTTTCTACCTCAACCAAGACCTTAGATAAAAAGTATAATTAATGTGAGGCGTTTAGTAACCTTTAGTTAATATCTGGATAAGAGAGTAAAGCAAGTATGACTGCAAAAAAACAAAAAATCCTACAGCACTAGCTACCCACCATTTTGAACACCGACACAATTTCGACTTCAACAATCCAAAAATATTACACACAAAACAAAACAAAAATAAACGTAACTTTTTAGAAATGGTTTATATAACAGTGATAAACACAGCATCAATTATAGAACAGACAAATGTAAACTCAGTCGCAGCTATGCTAATATCATTAATCAAATTCAATATCAATAACATCATATATCATCATCACATCACATAAAACAATCATTACATTCCTCACATCAAACATTTCTACATAGTCTAATTTTTCAACAATTTGGCTTTCCTTTCCCTAATTATCCCCGTCTATATAATCCTGAAAGGATAATTAGAACGAACCATTACCCATTCTTTTCCATTGTCAGCTCCTTTTACCTCAAAGAAGAAGCTGACTCCTCATATAAAAAAAAGTTTCCTGTCTCAACCTCCTTCTCCACACCTTCAAAATCCAACATATATAAACATAAAACATTAATATCACACTGGCACTCTCAACACGACACCCAATAATGACACATCTACACAGAAAACAAATACGTTGATTGAGTCTAAAATTTCTAGCATTGTATAAATTCACTTTTTTCACATCCTACATGTATTTGTATAATTTAAACAATGTTTATAAATCCCAGGAAATTTTAGGTTTATTCAAAGTATTTGTACTCACTCAAAGTGTGTGTTTTCTAAGTAAGCACAAATACTTTGAATAAACCTAAAATTTCCATATTGTGTACATCATTGTATAAATTCATTTTCACATCTTACATGAATTTGTATAATTTAAACAATGCTTATAAATCCCAGGTCCTGACGATGATCTCAATAAAGATAGAAATGTTGGCACGATAAAGAAAATGTTTAAACCCACATCACACCAGACCGCATCTCACGATCTCTAAATAATCTTTAATAAAAACACACCAATGGCTTTGTGTTTGGACACTTTAAACACCAATTTTGGATTAATAGAACATACAAATGGCCAACACGGTTGCTGGGACAAGGTTTATTACTTTTTTTGACCAAGGTCCCAGAGCAAATGCCCGCCAAGTGGCCTACCAAAAGATCTACCAAAGGGAAAAAAAGGACTCGTAACAATTCACTGTCTTGCCCAACAAGATATGGCCAATTTACCCACCGGAGGAATTTTCACGTCGATGAATAAGCATATGCATGTCCATTTTCCAAGGGTATGTTTTAATAAATTCTCCAGGACAAAGATTAGCCCCAATGCCGGGTTTTATTTTTGTCAAAACAACCTTTGTTCAATTCCTTTTAATTCTGTGACTAAGCTTTTTCCTAGTCCAATTGAACACAATTTAGATTCAGCAAGTTAAATATTTAACGTCAAGTGAATCTGTACACTTCCTTGCAGCCCAAAGTTTCTTCTAATTTTCTTTAGTTTGATAGACTTGGTAGTCAGTGTTTGTCAATGTGTTCTCATCAATGGTCACTTTGGAAAATCATTTAGACAGATGCCATGCCATATTACCAACCACTTCATGGTTTTTTAAATTTATTTTTTTTAATTTTAGTACAAATAATATTTAATAACTCACGATATCTATCAACTCTAAATTATTTTTTTCTCTAGATAATTCGAACTTTTTTTTTCATTCAAACTCTTGATCATTTGACTTATTTTTGGTGGTCCCTTAGGGTTTCAAATTATCATGAGTTGACTGTATTAATAAACAAACATGACAAATATTTCAAAATCTTGTCTTTTTTTTCAGATTCCTTCTTTCCCGATTTTTCAAATGTTGTTTTGCAAAGGTGATAGAAAGGATTTTAAATTAAAATAACATTTACCCTCTTCTTGCCCCCCGGAACCTGGGAGGCCTGTTGGGAATCCTCGAAGTAGTCCTCTGGAAGCTGAAGCCAATCTTTGATTGTTGCTGTTGGCCTTCTGTTTTTTGAAAGTCCATCGAGTCGATCTGAAACACACAATGCGAACATGCATTAACATCTAGCATGCTAGAATCTAAGGGTTTCTTTTTTCTCTTCTGATATATTAGTAATAAATTATTAATCTGTGGGGGCATACACCAAAAACAAAATAATCCCCTCTACCCTTTAGCAATTTTGAATAAATTGGGTGCTGCAAACAAAATTGAAAAATAATCTGAAATTTAATAAGGCAAAATTAAAGTTTGTGTATACCTAATTTGTAGTTAGAGCTGTCCAAATCATCCCACTTGCTGGTAATAGACTGAAGCGTTGTGGCCAAGAGTCTCTGTAGCAACAACTCGGACATCTCAGAGCAAGTCTTTTACTACATCTTGCACAGAAGTGCTTTTGATATATTTTGAAGAAATTAATCCCGAAAATGTTCAATGTTTTAGAAAACATTTACCTCAATTCATCTTTTTTTTTTAATTATTATCCAAATGAAAAATTAAAACTCGCGATACAATGGAACTTTGTTTTTATTTGTTGTCTTATGAAGTACAACTATACATTCTCTATATTTGCATTGGCATGAGTAAGCAATTTTAATTTATTAAGGGTTTAAAAATAAATAAAAAAAAGAGAGAGAAAAGGGAAAAGAATAACGCATACTTTAAAAACCAAACAAAAGTTATTGTGATTATTTATAATTTCCAAAGTCAATTTATTAATGTGAAATGTTAAATTTAATTGTGTACTCAGCTAATAGCAATAAAAAGAATATATACACATCTAAAACAACAAACAACTATTTTTGATAGTACAATTTAAAATAAATTACAATGCATTTAAACTTCGGAGAGAATCTGCTTTCAAAACAAGAAAACAAAACAATTAGAAGAATTTGTTAATTTTTTTAAATTTTTTCTGTGAGGGCTGAAATGTTATTATTGCTGTTTTGGAAAAGAAGAAGCATATTATCAACTATTAGACACAAACAAAAATGTAAAACCAATATGTCAAAGGTACATTTTCTGTACACATTCTTTTTTTTCAGATTATCCTTTTACATACAACTGTTATAATTAATGTTCTTAATTAATAAACAGCATATGATAATAATAAATCTTAATAGCAAACATTATTTCCTTGTGAATCCATAAAGGTTTTACAGTGTAAATTTATTATATACAACCATATATATACAAGTATTTTTTAGAGAAAAATTGTCAGCCACACTTTCAACGTCCTCACCTGCTTTGGAACGTCAGATTCTTCATTTTCTATATCTTTATCTAATTGATCAGAATCCTGGGGCTCGTCTTGATCTTTTGTTCCACCTTGGGCTCCTTCCGCCTCTCCGTTTTTGTTATCCTGGCTCACTTCCTCTGTGTCTTCCATATCCACCTGAATGTCATTCATCATTATAGAGAGTTTACTGCAAACGTTATTATTGAACTTTAAAGCTACCTCCATTATGCTTGCATCTTGTAACAGAGAACGGATGTCCAGTAATGTTTCAATGGCTGGTGTCTTTTCCCACCCTTTAATTATTTCTTCTATCTCACTTTCCGATCTTTTATGCACGTTTCGTTTCAGACAAGATTGAAGGTCCAGTTCAGTCTCACAAATATACACCTTGTTAAAAGGGTAAAAAATTAACCAATCGAAAAAAAAAAAAAAAATCCGTATTCACATTTTAATGACAGACATACTTGAAATCCTTTTTGCTTAGCAAAACTCGATATTTCTTCAAAATGATGAAGTTTATTATTTACAGCATCTACTATTACAAATGGAAAATATCCATCGTTCAATGTTTTTTTAAATGATTTAACCATCGATTCGCGGTACTGTGGTTCCATTGCTGCTTCATACTCATACTCCATGACCTGATGAAAAGAAAATAGTCAATTGTTTTATTCAATTTCACTGATGTTGAAGTGTTTGTATTACTTTCTTGGCAGATTTTCTTCCATCTGAGTCAGTTTCTATTTTTTCAATTTCCACCATAAAATAATCATCAAGTGATAAAATTCTAGGTGCAGATCCTCCCATTTGAACCTCTCTTCCCTGAAATCGGAGATTAAATAAATAAAATGTGCCCTAATATAATTCACAGTGTATAGACACTTCTGCCATGATATAAAATATAATTAAGATAATCATTAACTTATGGATAGAATAATTATTACCTTGATCAATTTAGCTAAAAATGATTTTCCTGATCCAGGTGGTCCCCTTATTATAATAACAATTCTAGGAGGACGGGAATTTCTACCAGGCTCTGATATCAGGTCATCAATTAGCACATTTAACTGGGAATGTGACAGTGGTGGATGAGAGGTTTCTAAAGACAACGTAGGTGGTTCAGGAACCTTAACGTGAGGATCTTGAGATCTATCCATTGATCTACTCCTTGAAAATAAGCATGTATTAAATTTTTTTTTAAACTTTTACAATTGAGGCAAAATTACCGGGACCGACTCCTTTTATGAATTCTCCTGTCCCTTTCACTCCCTCTATCTCTTCTGTCAACTCTAAATCTAAAAACAAAAAGATTAGATTTATGCAAGTAAAGCAACACTGAAATGACTTACTTATCCTCAGGTGTTCTGTCTAATCTTCTTCTGTCATCTCTTCGTCCTTTATCATCACCTCTATCAACTCTTCCCCTGTCTAACGCCCTTCCTCTGTCATCTCGTCTATCATCACGACCTCGGTCGTCTCGTCTCCTTGATTCCTCCCTTCTGAAATCATCCCTATCCCTTGTCCTGTAATCGTCACGACCCTTTTTGTCATCCCATGGCCTTTCGTCATGGCGTGAAACCCTTGCCCAATTTCCTGGCCGTCCATATTCTAAAATATACAAAATTTGCTGATATAGAAACTTTTTGCAAAATTTTATTACATAAAATTTAATATAACAGCTTAGTTTTAGTATGAAATATTTTAAATGTAATGTACCAACTAGTATTAATTAATTTTCAAAAATCTCTTCAAATAAATTTTACCTTCCAATCGGTCATGCCTCCAATGTTCTACAAAGAGAAACAAACTATCATTATTATTTAGTATTTTCAAGTTTTGAAAAGTAGTGCCAATAAAATATGACGGCAGATCGATGCAAGGAAGCATGGAAGAAAGAGCTAAGCCTCGCAGGCAGATACGCCCAGTGAGGTTTTACTCTCTGAGATTCTGGCACATACAGACTTTTTCATTTGTTCAATTCAAATCAGTTACTTTATATATCTACCCATTAAAAAATGACTGATTTGAATTGAACAAACGAAAAGACGTTGTGCGGCCTAGCTCGCAGGGAGTATTTGCCTGCTAGGCTTAATTCTTTCCTAAACGCTTCCTTGCACGGATCCACCATCCAACCTTTTGGTGCTATTTTTCAAAATGTAAATATGTGTTATAGTAAAAAAGCCATTATCTACCTTTCTCATCAAAATTATGTTCATCAGGCAATGTGCTGGGAGCATGAGCATAATCAATCATTGAGCACGGTTCATATATTTCAGGTACACCTGTAAAATCACATAGACAGTAGAAATAAAAACCACACATTCAGTATGAAAGGGTAGGTTTACCTAAATTTGCTGGTTGATTGTAGTAATCATATATTACAGCAGGTATGTGGGTTGGCATGTCGGCTTTTTTAAGAGAATCATCCCTATAAATAAGACACTCATATATGTGAAGAACCGCACATATGATAAGAACAAAGATCCACATTTTAACATTAATGGCATATTGTTAATTAAAAATGTTCGTGCATAGAATTGTCGCTAAGCTTTACTAATAAAGCAGATAATTTGTCAATCGATAGTACCAAATGAATTTTATGTTCACAGTATTTTAAAATTGGAAGTTCAAGTTTCTTATACGAAATAGTCCAATATTAACAATATATGAAAATAAATCCTGTACCATTTAACTGAATAGCCATACCTAAATAAATAGCTTAAACATACAAATCTGGATTTTATTTATAACGTGTGGTGTTAGTGACCGTTAGCGAATGATTATTCGGAGATCGTGAGGTGCAGTCTGGTGTGACGTGGGTTTTAGAAAAACATTTTCGTATCATGCCAACGTTTCGATCTTTATTGAGATCATCTTCAGGGCTCAAAATGTTTGTTTTCCATGTAGATGTGACATTCTTGTGTGTCGCGTTGAGAGTGCCAGTGAGATATTGATGTTTTATGTATATATATGTTGGATTTTGAAGGGGTGGGGAAGGAAGAGAGGATAGAAAGACATTTTTATATGAGGAGTCGGCTTCTTTGAGGCGAAAGGAGCCGACAATGAGAAAAAACGTGGGTAATGGTTCGTTCTAATAATCCTTTCAGGATTATATAGATGGGGATAATTAGGGAAAGAAAAGCCAAATTGTTGAAAAATTAGACTATGTAGAAATCTTTAATGTGTGGAATGTAATGGATTGTTATATGTGTTTTGTGTGATGTGATGACGATACATGTATGTTACCGATATTGAATTTGATTGATGATATTCTGCTGCGACTGAGTTTACATGTGTCTGTTCTGTAATTGATGCTGTGTTTATCTCTATTGATGTAAACCATTTCTAAAAAGTTACGTTTATGTTTGTTTTGTTCTGTGTGTAATATTTTTGGATTGTTGAAGTCGAAATTGTATTGGTGTTCAAAATGGTGGGTAGCCAGTCCTGTAGGATTTTGTTTGGGTTTTTTCAATTGATTTTATAAATTACGTCTCGTTTAAATTTTCTAGCAGTATATAATTTCATAATTTTTTTTCCCACATCCTACATGTATTTGTAAAATTCAAACAATGCTTATAAATCCCAGGCCCTGAAGATGATCTCAATAAAGATCGAAACATAGGCACAATAAAGAAAATGTTTTATACACCAGACTGCACCTCAGAATCTCCAAATAATCATTTATTTATAACATTATTTACATGAAAAATTTAGTCCTTTTATAACTTTAATGTTATAAGATTCATTTATCTATTATCTAAATTAAAAAAACATCATTCATTCTTCTTAATTACTTACAATAAAATTTAATAGCTTTTACAAACTTTGTATAGGATTGATAACCCAAAAATTTGCATAAACATTTACAAGAATCTAAAAAAAAGGACAAAATATCTGCAAGTCAAAATAATTATATAATAATTCAAATTAATCATAATAATATTAGATGTGTCAAGTTTTTTGCCACTTAGCGCTAGACTCGATCTTGTCAAAGGAAATATTGCAAGCCCAAGAAAATACTGTTTTGTTGCATTCAAAAACTTTATCCCCCCATATCAAAACAATTGTCTAAAGCTCTGTAATTATAAAATAAATAAAAATTTGTCAATTCATAAAGGGTTTATTGTTAAGTTATCAATGGGGTCTACTTTTCATGATAAACCATATTGTAATACTAAGCAATACAAATAATTAGGGCTTCATAATGAAGGATTTTAAATATTAAAAAGCCTCGTTCTATCTTGAAAGTCACATTTTCATAAATTTTGAATTGTTTTTCATTAATAAGTTTTTCTTAAGTAATGTAATCCATTTTCAGAAATCTCTTACCTTTCTCTGTCCGATGAAGATGGGAGATATCTGAAATCTGAAAAATAAAAGCATACTTTCATTCTTCCAAACTGAAATAAATATTAAAAGCGCCATGGCGCTCCTGCATACCTCACCCTCAGGCTAAAATGAGATTATTTTTTTATAATCCTTAGGTATAAATGAAAAGATCGTTGATCTTTTTTCCCCTCCCCAACTATAAATGTACCAATTACGCAGTTGGTCATAGGACCGACATGGTGTGAGGGGTTTATTTTTAAATGTTTCTTCCCCTGGCATCAAGTGGTCCCACCTAAGGGGAGTCCACCTGGCAAAATGGTTGTAGGTCACATGTCTTATGAACAAGATACAGAAATCCTATTAGTGGCTAAATACGCATTACTACAAAATAGGACTGAAATAAATCAGACTTAACCTTTTCGGGACTCATGACAAGTTGTTTCGTTCTGGCATGGAGGCTCTCCAGGCCCAATGACGAATTGTGTCATTCGAGCTGATATGATCTCCAGGCCTTGTGATGATGGCCCTTTATACATAGCTAGACACAAAGTCGACACAATTTCCAATTCTACTACCTTTGCAAGCAGGCAGGCAACCACTCATGGGTCGACACCATTTGCAACTTGCTTGCGATACAACTTATTGGCACATACAACTGCAAAAATTGGCGGTGAATATAACTGTACAGGTACTGGAAAGCACCTTGAACTGTACAATACACCCTCCTCATTTAATCCAGAAATGAAAAGGGCGAAGTGTGGACTGAGGTGGCCAACAAAGTTAAAATGTCATGTAAGAACTCCTTTAATAAATTGTCTGTATAATTACAGTTAAGTTATTTGAACATTTCACGTTCTGACTTTTATGAATTGTACGGATTATTACAACCTTTTATATCTTGAAAAGTAAATACTGGTTATAGTAGAACCTTCTGAACGACCAAAAAATAAAAAAATAAATAAAATTTAAAAAAAAAATTTAAAAAAATTTATAAGTAGGTACATGATAAAATTCTTTTTTCAACTAGCAAAGCACATTACAGAGTAGCCACTAATTTAAAATCAGTTCCATTGCACACGCAGTGATGTCATTGGAATCACAAAATAATAGGATAAATATTCTCTGTAAGCATTTGTGTTCTGCTTACTCATTATACCACCATAAAACACTCAAATTGAGAAGAAAAAATCATTTCATGAATGCTATGAGAACTATCCTGGCAAGAAGACAAGTAGACTGAAAAACAATCGCCCTATGTACAGATACCTCACACTTAGGTCGTGCTGAGATTGCGTTGCTGTCGCATTACTTTCATGATGTGTCGACCGAGCACCAACCCTGTATGGAGGGCCTCATTTCATTTTTTTCCATACTTCTGTTTACAATCTGGCCTCTCTCTCAAACTTTTTTAAAGAAAATATAATTTATTTTTATAATTTAGTTTTTATAAGTAAGTATAGTTTTTCTGGAAAACCATTCGGCAACAATATCTCTGTCTCATTGGGAATATTCTACTTTCATCTACCCCCTACCCATATCAACCCAACCTTCTATACCTACCCTATTGTCATGCTGTTTTTTCGCCTCTGCCGCATCTGACAAACTCTCAGGTTTAGTTTTATATCACTTACATTCACAGTGATTATTGGAATATATTTTTGTTTTTGTTGCCCTTATATATTTTTTTTTGTTATATTTTAACTTACATAATGAATACTTTTTGTGAAAAATGAATTTTCAATTAAATTCAACTTTGTTTGTTTTTCACTTTTGAGTCTTTCTCCTCAAATTTTGAATTGAATTAGTGCACCTCAAAAGGAGAAAGCAGACAATTTGAATTTTGATGCACGAGAAAAATTAATCAGGCTGGGAGTCACGTAGTGACTGAGAATATAGGCAGAGAAACGCATTTTACCATCTAAAAACAGTACTGAAAGCGTTAAAATAAAAAAATATGGTCTTGGGAGAAATCTCACTGGCTAGTTCGGTTTTGTTCTAGGCCAGAGCTGTCCAAAAAGAAAGCTTGGGAAAAGCAGTACTGTGGCTAGAATGTGATCCCAACCACAATTCATTCCCAGGGACTGCTGTAGCAAGAGGGTGAGGGTTCGTTTAGGACCACTGGCACGTTACGTGTTACCAAAGATTTAAACAAAAATTGTAAACAATGAAATATAAAATAAATTACCTTTCCCTGGTGTAAGAGAATTTGGTCCTAGATTGCTGTTACTTGGTGGGAAATTATGACCATCCTGAAATTTAAAATAATGAGAAAGTTATAAGAATATCAATGTAGAATTTCAAAATAGAATGTATTCACCTGTGGAAATAACGGTTTTAGACCTTGGACATTTTGGTTTTGTGGTTTGTCCTGGAAATTTTGATATTTATTGTACCCAGGTTCATCATTTCCAAAAGAAGTAGAGCCTCTCATAGGTGAACTCAAGCGATCATTGCCAGGAAAGTTGCCGCTTTGGTCATTTCTTTGATTTGAATTAAAATTCAATGGGTTAGAAAGTGGGGTTGGAAGCAATGCTGGTTTCTGCATCGGACCGCCCCAATCTGGCCTTCCCTGTGAATTACCAAAGTTGCCTCCCTTGTTCATTTGGTTATACTTGGGCCCCATACCGAACTGGTTGTTCCCTTGACTAAAATTTCCAGAACCGTAGTTGTTAGAATTGTAATTATTTCCTCCAGGAGGGAAATTGTTCCCTCCACCCTGGTTGTTGAAGTTATTCCCTCCTGGTATATTCGGACTGAAATTGTTTCCCTGACTATATTTATTATCAGGATTAAAACCTCCTTGAGTTTGATTTCCTCGTTGGTTGTAATTATTTCCTTGGTTGAAATTCAAACCCTGTTTACCTTCTTTGTTCATATAGCTATTTGGTGGAGGATTGTGGAAATTATAATCTTGCCCTTGCGGCATATTGCCAGATCCTGGTTTTTGAATGTTTCTTCCTATTAGATTGGGTAACCCTTCAGTATCCAATTTATCAAACTGCCCCATATGACCATGGTCTGATCCAGAATTTTGTGTCATGGGAGGAGGTTGATTAAGATTTGCACCCATGTGGAACATCTTATTAGGATTGCCCTGATTCCTGAACGACGGAGGCGGCATGTTCATTTGAGGTGGTTTGTTTTGATTCATCATACCCTGAGGCATTTTTCCAGGAGGTGGAAAGTCAAATGGTTTACTGTCAGCGGGAGTTTGAATCGTCTCTTGACCTGTCTTGGTCAATGACATAGGTGGCAAATTGTAATTAGATACATTTCCATCATTACCAGAATTAATAAGGTCCAGCCCAGGAATTCCACCATCGTTTGTTTTACTTCCGCTTGAAAGTTTTGTGGCATCACCAAGAAGTGATTTCGCCTGAAAGGAAGAAACCAATAACAACTCCTGTCTTATTAACACGATTTAATATGCAAATATTGTAAATGTAAAGAAAACACTAAAAAGTATGGATAAAAGTAAACATATTTCATGTACTTGCTGAAATGAAATATAGAAGGTACCTGTTGAGGATCTGATAAAGAAGCTGAAGATTCATGTTGTGTTGGAGGGGGAACAGAAGTGGGTGGCATTGAAGACATGTTCATTCCAATGGCAGCTGAATCTCCAGTGAGTAATGCCGAAGGGGGCATTACTGGAGGTGGAACAGGTGGGAACATCTGCCCTCCCTGCCCGAACATATAACCTTGTTGGTTAAAACCCATAGGGAAAGACATGTTTCCATAGAGCCCCGGTTGATATGGATTTGCCCCAGATGGATGTACAGTGGCCGATGGCAAAGAAGGTACAGTGGAAGTTGATGAAGTTACAGTTGTGCTAGCTGCTGTTCCAGCAGTTGAAGCAGGATGTTGAGTCTGCTGAGCCTGCAACTAATACCAGAAAACGCATCCATACAGATTTACACTAAACAAGTGCTAGAACATCGTTTTAAATTAAATAGATATTAATTTTTGTCATGAACACAAATTTTATATAGTTTAAAATTACTTTTTCTAGCTCTGCTAATTTAGCATCTCGCTTTTTTTTCATCTGCTCTCGTCTCTGAAGTAACTGAGTTCTCCAGCTAGTCCATTTTGATTCATAAGCTTTGTATTGTTCCTTAAAAACACATTTAAAAAAATAAATACATGTGGAAATGTTAAAAATAAACTTCTTTCAGTGGGATTAGGAAATAAAATTATTCTCTACAGTATTCTTACCGTGTCAGGATGATTTGCATTTTCCTCCCTCCAGGAATTAAATTGTGATTCCCAATTATTAAATTGTTCATCAAACTGTTTCTCTGCTTCTGCCATTTCCTCTAATGTTGACTAAAAATTGTTACAAGTAATTTATTATCAATAAATATGAATTCGCTAAGACACAAGACTACTATGCTTGATAAGTTTTTAATTTAAAAAAAAAATTAAACTGTGTAATAAAAAAATGAAAGAATTATCCTACAATGTAGGTGATTTAGGTTTCTACATAATTTCTTTTTCCACAAAGCACAATTAGTTTTTTATGGAGGTTTGTTTAAGATAAATAATTATAATACCTTGACAGATTGAATTGCAGAAGCAGTGTCATCAGTTTTTTGTTTTTTATTATCTGCACTAGCTTCAACATCTGCGGGCGGCCTCTTATTTGAACCAACCTGTGGTGGCCTAAAATGTTAACAAACATTAAAATACTGGTAAATTCTCTTGGAAACTGGATAAAGTGATGTCTGAACAAATTGCAAAATATTTTATATTCAGTTTTGAAACAAAGCATTGGTTAGCTTATCAATTGTGGATATTCTCACTTAAAAAATTAGTCTTGGTTCTGAACTTTTGCTTTCATTTTTTCTTATTAAGACCAATAAAATAACCAAACATCTTTATAATTTTGAATGCCCGAAACGCTGATCAAAATTACGGCCAAACCACTCCATGGATTTTCATTCTTGATGGCTTATACGAAAACCCTGACATCAAATTTATTCGGAAAATTATCAAAAGTATCAATTATTAATGTGAGGACGATAAATAAGTAATTAAAATGGTGGGTGTGGGAGCCACCAGAATTCAAACTTCATAAGTCATTTTTCACCTTTCATTTATGGTTACAGTCCTTTTCAGTATTAATATTGTTGTGTTATTGTATTATTATTATTATTTTTTTTTTTTTTTTTTTTTTTTTTTTTTTTTTTTTTTTTTTTAATCGTGCATTGTATTATATTTTTTTTCATGTATTAATCACTAGGCACATAAATGTTCTATTGAATTATATTGTTCTATTTATTTATTTTATACTTTTTTATTGTATTTTGTTGTTCTAAGCGCTAAAGAGGCCAATTCAAAAGGACTCCCTGGTATATGAGATGGCATTTCAGGCGCCAGGAGTCCACCTCCCTTCCCCATTCACAGTGATGCCAACATTTCGCTTTGGTGTCTCAGTTCGAGCATGTCATGTTATGTCACAAGTTGCATCAAGCTGTCATGCAACTTGAAGCCAGTTTAATTTTTTTTTCTCCCTATGCCAGTCATCTTGTTTTGTTAAGAAAACCACAGTGAACTACTGTTTCCTGAAATCCTTTGTCATAAGTAAATGTTTTTTTATTACTGATTACTGATTTATTATAATGCGTACAAGCATGTACAGAGTTGAGCCTATCGTTTCTCGCATTAAATTGGCAATTCCAGCTTTTGTAATTTACAATAAATTACTGGCTGGCCTTTGAGAAACCCACAATGGGTGTTGGCAGTCCAAGTCAAACCTCATCTTATCCGCCCAGCCACCAACAGCTAAGTCATTTTTACCCCCAACACAATTAGTTCCTAACTCCAAATCCATTCTCATTCTATCTCAATTTTAAATACTTTCTTTCTCATATTATATACCTAATTCAAATGAGGCCAGATGGGGTACTCAATATTCCGCCATCGACCCTCTCACACTAAGTGTTCACGCTAATAAATAAATTCACTCTCAATGCACGCTACAGATACAAAACTATCACTACTAGAAACTAATAAAACAATCCCTTTTTCCTCTATGAATCGGAACAGGGGATACTCGCTGCTGTGCTAAAGCACAATTCTCATATTGGGTGGCTCTCCCATACATTCTCTATATGGTGCCATGGAATATCAAATAGGTGGGACACATCGAGCAACCTTTCTCTGCATGCCGGAGATATACGAGAGATTTGGCCAAAAAAGTGTCTATGTGTTACCCTCCCATAAGAATAATAAAAATAGTTCTTTATTATTATTATTTTCACTAATTTCGTGGTCCACTTGACCAATTAATATATTACAATTAATTAAGGTTTTTAGTTGAGCGGCGTATCTAGAAGAAGATCGTGGGTTCGAATCCCGCTCGTGCCATTGACTTTTTTATCTCAACTAAACACCTTAATTAATTGTAATTATTATTATTATTTAAAAAAATGATGGCAGCAGATAACCATTCTTCCCTTTTATAATTTTATTTAACAAACCTAAAAAAGCGTTTATAACATCGATGGTCAGTTACTAGATACACAGTTACATTAGAATAATTGAATTATTTCAATCACAAAAATATTATTTGAAATTAAATCTTACGCTGTTGTAGATGGAGTTTTTGGCTGTTCTGGGGGCGGTGCAGGTACTCCTGTTGTTTGTCCAGCTTGCACTGCTGCCATGTACTAAATAGAAAAAATTGAAATTGTACTCAATTCATATAATTTTAAGGAAATTAGCCTCACTTCTTTTCCGTATTGTTGCTGCCACTGTTGGTATTGTTGTTGCCACTGCTGCCACTGATCCCATTGCTGCTGCTGTTGCTGCCAAGCATTAACACCCTATTGATTTTTATATTTTTATAGTATAATTTGAATAAATGTGTTTTTTGGAGGGACAAAGAGCCATTGGGAAACAAAAAAACAAATGATTAAGTCTTAATTTAAACTACTTACAGCACTGGCAGGGCCTGGCTGAGTATAGTTAGGCCATTGATAAGGTACAGAATACTGAGGAACGGTCGATGCTGCAGCGCCCACGTTTCCAGCTTGGGCCAATGCAGACTGTATTGGCGAAGGATAGCCAGGCATGGAGTAAGAATTGGCCTGAACTCCCCACTGGTTCCATGGCTGCATGTCTTATACAAAATTTTTCTTCCGGGAAAAGGAAAACGGAGTTACAACTGGAATGAAGAAAAAATAGAAGGCTTTAGCCAAGATTTTCAATAAGGTACACACAGTATACCTATAATTTAAATGGACAAGTTAAATACTGTACTTTACAATATATAATATAATTTGAACATTACCAATGGTCAGGAGTACAGACAGACCAAAATGATCAGTAATGACCAAATTACAAGTTCATCACCCTGCAGACCACTCAGAGAAATCTCACATTATACAGAACACTTGAATTATGAATGAAAAATTCAGTTAATGAATGATATTTTATCATAAATTTACATTAACAAAACAGTACTTTTTATGATAAAACATTGCATTAGATTTAAAGCAGTCAATAAATGTCATTACTTTTTTATTTGTATAGTAGTAAGATAAAGAAATTATCTGTAATAAATGAAGGATTAACATCCAACTAATTATTGGGTGCCACAGAACAGGTTCAAACTGCTTTACTACACCTTTTACATATGTATTATTATTAATTAAAATTCTATGCAGAGATTTGAACCCAGAACCTCTAGCATAGCAAACATGAGTCAGATGCCCTAATTACCAAGCCAGCGCGGTACCATCTATATTTGTATATTCTTCTTGGTTCTTGATTTTTAAATGTTCAGATTCAAACATACAGTGTGTGAATAAAATCAAACAATAGCTCATACCACTTAATGTCAATAATTATGAATCTTCTGACAGTGACCAACAAGGAAAAACGAAAAACAAGTTCTTCCCTTCTTTACTAACAAACCTCAAAAAGTGCACTAGCCTAAGTTAGTTAGCTAGGGTTCCCCTCTTCACTTATTTTTTTAGGCATTAATATCTTTTTATGAGACTGTACTGTTTTCAGGCTAATGCTCTACAAAGAATTTATCATTCAAAGGTATTTTTTTACTTAACCAATTATAATCTAAATTTATCTTCTATCAATTTTTGTTTTCTTCAAACTTAGATGCAAACTTATCTTACTTAATTACTCCCCTCTGATAGATTATGTTACCGCTCACTGTAACTCCTGCATGAGGGAAGACCTCTTCCATTTTATGGGTGAGTGTCCCATTCTTTCAGAGTTTCGGGTTCTCATTTTGGGAACTACTAGAGTTTTGAGGGCTTTGATCACAGCTGGGTTTCTATTGCACACGCCGTCTCGGTTTAACCATTTCCACGAGGTGAAACATTTTGCAACATAGAGGTGAAACAAGAATGCGCCATTAATTTGCACAAGACTAGCATGCTGATTATAATAACACCAACTGCTGCATTTGCTATCATGGAGATACTTTTTGATGCTCATTTCCTTCCTCACATCCTCTCTCCTGTTCTTGTTATTTTGAGTTTTATCTTTAGAATCCCTCAAAAATCAGTAGCTGTGATACATTCGGATAAATTGAATGCAGTCGTCCTGCGTCACTCTCATATTCAAGACAAGAGTATTTACACAGAGGGAAACAAATAAAAGCAAACCATTTGATGCGACCTAAAAAACCAACAGCCATCGACTCCTCCAAAACATCCTCGTGCCAAAAGTTTCGCAGTCCCGGCTAGGTTTCCACAATGCAAGAAAAGTTTCACAAAACAGTTGCAAGTGATTTTTGCGATATTTAATCCAGGTGAATATCTTCTATTCAAGTGAAACTCATCTGGCTATCACCTCCAGTAGACGGTTTTTGTTCTAACTTGGTATACTTCCTTAGGAAAATGTGCTTTATTTTTATAAATAGAGTTCTTTTTTCATTCATTCACACAGACACAAAACACAAACAAACCACTGAAGACAGTAAAATGCAACGGACAGGTATAAAAACAAAATGTGTAAATATTCTACTACAATTTGCAGTATTTCATTCAATATTTCAAACGATGAAAACTGTGAAGGGTTAATATCAAACATTTCTCACCCTGCTTTCAAAATAAATTATTAAATTCTGGGAAGAAATTATTGAAATGAAAATATTCGGCAATAAATCGACTAAATAAACAAAAATAGCATTCAAAAACAGCAAAAGAGAAAGATATGAAACTTAATTCGAAAAACAACTAATACAAACTAATAACAGTCAAGATAATTAGGGATAGAGTAATACCCTTAAAACATATATAATACTATTAGAAACTGGTGAAAATCTCTCATAAAAAGTTAATAATACTTTACATTTAGGAAACTGGTAGCCTAATAGAGAAATCACTCATAAATCAAACATACCGAGGCTAGCAATTCTTCTAATAAACAGTATTAAAATAAAACTGAAATGCTGTACTTACAAATAAAAATAAAAACATGTCCCGTTCAGAAAAACGCCGTCGGTTTTCACACAAACTGAATCGTATAGAGTCCCTGGTTCGGAATAATTTACACTACAGTCCCATGATAACGTTTCCGATAAAAAGAGCCTTTAATTAAAACCGTTCGAGGGTCACTATTTTTTAATATTTGTCGGCATCAAAATACAAAAATTAACGAACTCCCTTCTGAAAAGCAGCCGATCAGGTACAATGGATGCCAATCTTCGATTTGATTCCAGGCACAAGGCTATCTTGATAATCGACACCTTTATTGAAGTAGAACTTTTGACGTTCTAAGTTCCCAACTCTGCGTGGTCGTTTTCTTTTTTTTTTACATCGGCTCGTTTTGACCAAGCAAGAAAATTTAACAAACAATCGTTTAATATAATTGGTTTGTTTTTATCGCGATAACTACGCGCCTGATTCAAATCAATGTGGTACACAAATGGAGAAAACTGTGGTACCGCATGTACACGTAAATTAAGAAATCAACTTTTACTAAACCAAGAGTACAATTATAAAACTATCGCACTTGATCTTTATAATAAAATAAAGTGCAATATTTGTACAAAAGTACCGGACCTTTCAAAAACTGCCTAAGCAATAGTTGACAAGGGTTTTTCTACTCACAAACTTGTTTTTAAAAATTGTTATTTAAGAAAAAAAGCCCTAACTTCCAGACATGTGACTCTCTGGACATAATTTTGAAATGTCTGAAGTACGACATGGAGAGGAGGCAATTCCTTTATTAGATATATTCTACTGAAATGTTGACCCTTCCATTCAACCTTGAGATTTTTATTGATTTTGGCAGATATAAAAATGTACGAATATTCCACTTCAGGCAAAACATAAAAAAATCATGATTTGATTGAAATATAAAACAAATAGTTTTACTACAACTGATATAAGGGGGCTACCATCTCGGAGGGAGTCAGTGGATTGGCTTGCTCCTGCTGGGGGACACAGTAGTCCCCAGGGCAAAATGCCCCAGACCCCCAGGGGATGTGTACTTTCATGTATTCATAAAATAAATGATTTTTATCCACTTCCTTGTTAAGGAATTGGTCAGTTAATGCAAGATGTAATAAATGGTATAAAACTGGGAACCACTGAGCCACTGATTGGTCACATGTTAATGGGGCAGATCGCTTCGCTGAAGAAAACAAAAATTATTTTATTAATCTTGTTTTATAAGATTTTTGCAGACTTGTAAAGTTGTAACTCCTCTGGAGCCTTTTTTCTTTAAACAAATTCCTTGATTTTATGTTTGTTTATGTTATCCCAAGAATAGGTTCAGGGCCTTTATATTTATTCGTGCAGGTATGTCTCTTGTCAGTTTGTCTAGCTTTTCATTACATAAAATCCTCCTTTGTGTCCTGGTACCCAAGATATCATCAAGTTGTTTCCTCAGGTTTTGAAGATGTTGAGTACATTAACTTTATGGTTGCTGGGCTATCTGATATTTTGAAAATTTTTTGTAAGTGTGAACTTTAAAATTTTTGAAGGCACAAGCCATCTACTTCAGATTTAAAGACCGAGGTGTGCTTTCTTAATGAGTTTGATCGCTTATATCTTGGGCTTGTATAGAATACCTCTGATCAGTTTTAGAGCTATCTTTATTACCATATCATTCTATCTGATTTTTCTCCAGAATTCTTTTCCTTTGTAGTCTCTCGAGATTTTATAGGATGTGGTAAAGTTTTTCCAAGATCATGTAGAAGACACCAAATCTAAGAATTGGTGTCTGGGTGTCATCAGGTTGTTGCGTTTTCCCAGGTATTGGATGCATTCTCTGACTGTCCCACTATAATTTTAAAGTTATTTTTTAAAAAAAAGGTAAATATAATAATACTTATATATAAGCTGATGTTTCATCTAAAAATCCACCGCTGAAAAGTTTTGATTATGATGATTGTTTTAAGGTAGTGAATATGATTCACTTAGGTTAAATAATTAATGATCAAAATGCCGGATATTGATGAATACCTGAATTATATATCTAATGACCAATTATTTTTTTCTCCAACCGGAAGTGTATATTTTTTACAACATTTTTGTCGCGTTAACTTTAATGAAAATAGAGCAACATAATAGCGATGATAACGACAAATTGATGTTTTGCCCCATGCCTCCATAGAAAAGAGAAGCGAGGAGGCAATGCTGCATTGCCGGTGAGGACGTGAGGTTTCTGTGTGGCAACTGGCATTTACCCCAGATCCGGACCAATAAAATTGAGCCACACATTTCAAAAGCAGTCGAGGTGGAGAAGCTCGCAGCTGATTGGTAACAGTCACGCATGCATTTACGTGGTTAAAATTTAAGATACCTCTTGTTATAAGTCGGCGATTATGATATTTTATATTCGTCCGTCATAATCCCAAGGAGACTGGACTGTGATTAATTACTATATAAATAATGGTGTTGATTAGAGGGTGAGTGAGATTTTCATATAGAACTTTTTACGGCTCTACTCTAGATAAAAGGTTAGACGTGACAGCTGTCCATAAAACACTTTTTATCATTTATTTACAAGAGATGCACCTTCAAATATCATCTTATTTTATTTTTGAAGATTATCGCTCGTAGTGAATTTCTTCGCCAAACTGGATTTATATTTTTAAGACTGATTTTATACAGAACCTGGGTCACCGATAGTGATAGTATCGGCCCGGTTGGAAAGTAGGCATGGAAATTGGAAAGTACTGGTCGAAAGATTTTTTTTTCCAAGACTTTAACCTCATCACATTTGTTTTAACCTTCGATTTCAGTTTATTTAAATAATGTTAAATAAATTGAGTATGTTGTCACTTCTAGCATAGTACATTTTTTAAAATGACCTGACCATGTTTTCACATATTCTACAGTTGCTTAACTCGACAGATAAAACCTTTAAACAAAAAATAATCTGTTTTACTTGTTGTTACATAAACATAACATTTTAATTTGTGCTAATTGGTCAAAATGCTAGAATTGTGTGAGGTAATGAAACAGCTTGATCATAACTGATCCTGGTCTTCTTGGACTATATTTGCTGAAATATTCTTACAAAATATAGAACAAAATAAAGGCAAAATTACATGCGTATTCAGTTGTGTTGGTAAGCTGCATAATAGATGAATATCAGAACTGAACTCTATACATAAAAGTATAACATTTGCTGTGAAAAATTGACCAAAACTGTGTGAACTTTCTTCTGGGATAGTTCGTTGAAGTCTGCAAGGTGGACCTGTAGTTTGATCTTCTGGTTTGAAGATGAATACGTATACTAGGAAGTTGGGGATTTCGTTTCTCAAGCACTTCCGACTTCTGGCTTATTGTACTTTCCTAGTTCCTTAGATCAGTGCAATCGACTCGGATCTTTCTTCTAAGAATTATTTGACTGTTATTGCTTCAGTTCCTTTCCCTGGATTTTCTTCGTATCCATGTTAATCTTCATTATTGAGCAGTTGCCTCGCATTCGAAGAAGATATGGGTGACTGTTTCTTTCTCCTCATTGCATAACCTACAAATGGTGCCACCATATTTTATGTTTTCTCAGATTTCAGTGACTGATATATAGTTCTATCACTTTTCTGAGTTTAGCCCTCTCTAACTGTAGTGAGTTTGCTAGTCTAGGTGAGGATTGTTTTAAGATAAGCTTAGGTATATAGAACCTCTAGAGTTCATCCACTTCTCCTTTAATCTTTTTTGGATCTATTCTGTGATAGAGAATTCTATGTTGGGTTTTTTATTTTGTACTCTTCTTTTCTGGTAGTTGACTTTTTGTATTCTTAGGTTTCTTTTTAGGGACTAGACAACCATCAAAAGAAAATGAGTTTGATGGTTGTCTAGTTTCTGAAAAGAAACCCAAGAAATATGTTTTTTTTTTGTTACTCCAAGAATAGGTTCAGGGCCTATATATGATCAGAAGATCCTCCCTTGGTAAGTGTCTTTTCATTACCCAAAAGTCCATTGTGTCATGGCACCCAAGATATCAGGTTTTTCTACCTGATGATGAGCATTTTTTGTGAAATTTGGATAACTGCCTAAAACTTCTGTTAGTAAACTATCTATTCTATAAAGTGATACAAATTATTCCTCATGACAAACTTTAAATATTTATTTTATATAATTTGTTAGGAGGTACAGAGTAGAAACAAAAATTTCACCAGTTTCAAAACATATAATTTCAGATAAACTTCAGAATTTGTCTTTTAATTTGTTTTATTTTATTTATTTTCAGAAATTTAAGGCTACCTTTCTATCTAGCTTTATGCATAGTTTTTATATTAGAATGTATAGTACAAACTCGAGCTGTTTCGGTTATGAGTATAGACTTTGGCAGCGAATGGATGAAAATTGCAATAGTTTCTGTAAGTTTGTACGAATACTATTAAGAAAATAATCAAAAGTTGTAATATTCTCATTACCTTATTTTTTCAGCCTGGCGTGCCAATGGAAATAGCTTTAAATAAAGAGTCTAAACGAAAGACACCGATAGCAATTGCATTCCGTGATGAAGAAAGAACATTTGGCGAGGATGCAATGGGAGTTTGTGTCCGTTTTCCTAAAAACTGCTATGTTTATCTATTAGATCTTCTAGGAAAGAAAGTCGACAATCCTATAGTTAAATTATTCCAGCAAAGGTTTCCTTATTATGACATAGTGCCAGATCCTGATAGGGGGACAGTTGTATTTCAACATGACTCGTATGTTTTTGTTTCATTTGATTTGGGATTGGTTTATTAATTATGAAATTGTTTTGTAGAGAAACAACATTTAGTGTTGAAGAACTAGTAGCAATGATGATTAGCAAAGCACAGGAAATAGCACAAAATTCTGCTGGACAGGTAATTAATGAAGCTGTTATTACAGTGCCTGGGTTTTTCAACCAAGCTGAAAGACGTGCAATGATCCAGGCAGCAGAATTAGCCGGTATTAAAGTTTTACAACTGATTAATGATTACACAGCAGGTAATTTATTTTTTCTTGTTAGTCCTTTTTTTTTTTTTTTTTTTAAATAAAAGTTGCTCATCTTAATTATTTGACCCAGTGGCTTTGAATTATGGCATATTCAGACGGAAAGATTTTAATGAAACAACTCAATACATAATGCTATACGATATGGGCTCTTCAAGTACTTCAGCTACTGTAGTAGGTTATCAAGTCGTAAAAACAAAAGAAAAAGGATATGTCGAAAGCAATCCTCAACTTACTATTCTCGGTGTCGGGTAGGTGACATGGGTTTAAACCCAAGTGGTCAACAATTAATTTGGGAGTTTTGTTTTTAGCTATGACAGAACATTAGGTGGGCTTGACATGCAATTGAGATTGAGAGACTATTTGGGCAAGAAATTCAATGAAATGAAAAAGACGAAAAATGATGTCTTTAAAAATCCCCGTTCTCTGGCTAAGCTTTTCAAAGAAGCCGGAAGGCTAAAAAATGTACTCAGTGCCAACATGGAACATTTCGCCCAGGTAAACTGACAAATTATAAAATTTTAATTAGTCTGTAAAGTATCAAAGGTTCAGTTATTTATTTTAAAATTGTTTTGCTTTTAAGGTAGAAGGGTTATTGGACGAAGTAGATTTTAAGCTACAGGTGACAAGGGATGAGTTTGAAAACCTCTGTAAAGATCTTTTTGACCGGGTTCAGCAGCCGATCGAGACTGCTTTGAAAACGTCCGGTCTTACAATGGATGTTATAAGTCAAGTAATCTTAGTCGGAGCCGGAACCCGAGTCCCAGCTGTTCAAGAACGACTTACAGCATCAGTCGGCATGGAGCTTGGAAAGAATCTGAACACGGATGAAGCTGCTGTTTTTGGAGCCGTGTACAAAGCCGCTGATCTTTCAGCCGGGTTTAAAGTTAAGAAATTTGTCACAAGAGATGCTACATTATTTCCAGTTCAGGTCAGTTATGTTTTATTATGCACTAATACTCTATTTTTAAAACGGTAATATTTTGTTCAGGTTACTTTTGAAAGAGAAGGGGACAGTGGAGCTCCCAAGCAAATGAAAAGAACATTATTCGGATTAATGAATCCTTACCCACAAAAGAAAATACTTACTTTTAACAAAAATTTGACTGACTTTGAGTTTCATGTCGTCTATGGTGATATTGAATATCTCGGGGAAAAAGAAATAAGGTATTTTACCATTTTTTTGTGTTTATGATGATTTGTAATTGTATCCAAATAGGATTTGAAAGACTGACATCCTTTTAATTTATTATATTGCATTAAAAAACAACAAAAAAATTCAATTTTTTGTTATGTTAAAAGTAATTTTTTTTATTTTATGCTCAGTACAATTGGAACGACTCATTTGAGTAAAGTATCACTATCGGGGGTTGCTTCTGCTGTACAGAAGAATGTTGGTCCCAATACAGATGTTAAAGGCATAAAAGTCCATTTGAACATGGATGAAAGTGGCCTTTTGCATCTTGTGAATGTTGAACTTGTCGTTGAAAAAACCATCCCCGAAGGCGGCACAGAACCTGAAGAGTCACCATTGTCCAAACTGGGAAGCACAATAAGCAAACTATTTACTGGACCGGAAGAAACTTTGAAAGAGAATATAGATAAACCTGAAGAGAAAGAAGAGAGTGGCGAGACTGAGAAAAAAGGGGAAAAGGGACCGGAAAGCAATAAGACCAAAGAAGAGACTGAAAAAGACGATAAAAAGGCAAAAGAAGAAGCTAAACCCAAGCCGGTTGTCATCAGGGAACCAATTGAAGCAAAGGAGGAACTACTCATTGTGCCGAGCTTGGATAAACAGCAATTAGAACAATCAAATTCTAAGTAAGTCGCATATATCCTATTTGCATAATTCGTTCAAAAAATTTTGGTTTTAGTTCTATACAAACAAAAGTAAATTTTTGACTAACCCTTGTTAAGTTGTTTAGATGAATTTTGTTTTTGTAGGATTGCAGAATTGAACAAAAAAGATGAATCCAAAAGAAAGCATGAAGGTGCATTGAATGCGCTTGAAAGTTTTGTTTTTGAAGCACGGAACAAGTTGTTAACTGAAGAATACCAACAGGCGTCTACACCTGAGGAAGTCAAAGCCGTTAATGATTTGTGTGAAAAAGTAAGTTATTTAACAAACAGCAAAGTTTAAAAATAATATATTTGGCGCTTAAAATTTTTAGAACTGTTCAGTAGTCCACATACTTCATATGCTGGCATTTTTTGTCGTATCTAAAATTAAAATATTAAGTCTAGTTAAATAACGAGTTTACCCAATATTCAGTTTATATATTTAGTACTGTTAACATCCCTCCCTCCACATGAAACTAAAAGAAATTCATATATAAATAATCATATTCTTCAGATTGTCGAGTTTGACAAAAGCTTCCTCATTTAACAAGCTTTCCATTTGTACATCTCATTTCAAGAAAGGGCAATTGATCTTTGAACCTTGAAACTTGTATTTGTATAAGATGGCGGTCTGATGTTATAAAGCAAAGGTACGAAATAGAGATAATGAGCAGAACAATTTTTATATATGTGTGGTATTTAGTGACTGTTAGTCAATGATTACTCGGAACTTTTTACGGAACAGTTTAGAACTCACTCGGGCGGCACTCTCAACACGACACACAAAAATGACACATCTATCAAAAACCAACACTGGCCCTGAATCTCAATAAAGATCGAAAAGTTGGCATGACAAAGAATATGTTTTTCTAAAACCTACGTCACACCAGACCACATCTCACACAAATAATTTTATTTATGCTATTTTTGTCATTTTGTAATACTTAGTATGTATAAATTGATCTTGTGCACTATTGCCAATGACTTCTCTTTGCTGATTATTCATGCGAACAATAAACTGATGAGAACTCGAGAACAAATCTGAGTCGGTGGTTTCTTGTAAACCTTGAAACAAAAAGATAAAAATAACATAATATTATTAATACTTAACTTACAAATTTTATTATTATATAATTAATTTTTATTCACTTGTTTTGTGGTCCGCTTGACCAATTAATATCTTACAATTAATTAAGGTATTCAGTTGAGATAAAAAAGTCAATGGGGCAATGGCACGAGCGGGATTCGAACCCACGATCTTTGGCTTAATACACTGCTGCTCTACCACTTGAGCTATCGTGACCTTGATCCACTCGGACACTAACCTCCCATCTCAACCACACCTTTTGAATTTTTGAAACATGGCAAAAAGGAGGGAAAATTTAAAAGGTGTGGTTGAGTTGGGAGGTTAGTGTCCAAGTGGATCGAGGTCACGATAGCTCAAGTGGTCGAGCAGCGGCATATTTAGGCGAAGGTCGTGGGTTAATCCCGCTCGTGACATTGACTTTTTTATCTCAACTGAAAGCCTTAATTAATGGTAAACAATTAATTTTTATTTTATTGAGTTTTCTGTATAAAACCAAGACAGTCACATATTGTAAATTTTAGTTTTATAAAATTGAGGAAGTTTTTGATCAAATTTTACAATAATGTTTTTTTTATTTTTATTTTTTATTTTTTTTATAAAGAAATTAACTATATAAATGTACGAAGTGAAAAATTATTTTTAAGAATGTTTATTTGCCATTTAGTGGTACCTAACATTTTATGTCACATCTCTTTACTTTCTGTTGGGTGTGTGCATAAGTTTTTTCAATTTTCACAAAAAAAAGTCAAACTTTCAAAATAAACATTTTTTTAATAGAAATTAACTATATAAATGTAAGAAGTGTAAAATTATTTTTAAGAATGTTTATTTGCCATTTAGTACCTAACATTTTGTCACATCCCTTTACTTTCTGTTGGATGTGTGCATAAGTTTTTTCAATTTTCACAAAAAAAGTCACTTTCAAAATAAACATTTATTTTATCTTTAATCTAATACATGATGTCCTTCATTTTCCAAAACATACCAGCAATATTGTGGTAGCAGATTTGTAAAAGTCTGATGACTTAGACTTTACTTTCAACATTTCCTTACCTTTCTAGTGATTTTCTAGGGAGCAGAACAAGTAAGAATAGGAAGGGGCAAGGTCTGGAATGTACGATGGGTGGGGTGTTAGGCTGAAACAAGAAGTTGCTTCAATTCTCTGGGGCTGGATGTTTTTCCTTCAAAGCTGCGCTGAGACGCCGTAGCTGGGCATAGTATATCTCTATTGTAAGGGTCTGGTTGTGTGGTAACAGATCCCTCTAAATTAATTATTCCTTGAATATACCACCAGACAGACAGTAGGACCTTACGAGGGTGTAATCCTGCTCTTTTAATAGGGGTTTTCCTAACCTAGAGCTAACGGGGCCAACAGGTAATAAAGGATTGCCTATACATGGGTGAAAGTCGAAATTTAAAAAAAAACCGCTTTTTTTTGCTACGTATGCACACCCAATATAATTTTTATTGTCCAAAATTATTTCTTTAATAGGTTTTTTTAAGTTTATCGGTCAATGTATTGCATCGCAATTAATGTTTTAAAGATGTCCGAGTGGTTGGATGAAGAAGGTTTCTCAGCAGATGTTGACACGCTCGAGACAAAATTGACAGAGCTGAAGAAAGTTACAAAAAATATATGGAGCCGTGTCAAGGAGCATCAAGAAAGACCCGAGGCGCTAACTGCACTGAATTCGATGCTGAATGTAAGTCAGGGATTCTTGATGACGATAAAAAATGTCACTTCACAACAGGCAGATACACCGGAAGGCTCGGTATTCACACAAGTCGAAATTGACGGTCTTGAAAAAATGATAAAAGAAACATTGGTAAGTTAATTTGTATAATTTATCTCAATATTTTTAAAATTTTGTATCGGTTAATATTGGACACATTTATCTTCTAGGACTGGAAGGAAAAGGCAGTTCTAGAACAAAATTCACAGCCACTGTCTGAACATCCAAAACTTACACTCAAACTTATTGGTGAAAAGATGGCACTACTCGATCAAATGGTAATTTTAAATGTATTTATTATGTTTATTAAACCAAATAAATTGTTATTGGCGTCACACATTATATCTCTAGTCCTTGGAAAAAGTATGTAAATCGATTTATACTGAAAATTAGATAATTCATTTTTCAAGGCGTGGGTAATTGTCAGCCTAAGCCACAAGGGCATAATTGTTTTTTGTTTTTGAGTATCTCAGAGTTGTAGAAGTCTTTTCAGTCAAGTATGTTTAGCTATTTTTCTCAATGGGTGATGATTCTAATAATAAATAATACTATAATGATAATAAATTTGGTGGTCATCGGGTTGAGTGATTCCTTCTTCGAGAGAAAAGGGGCACTATACGATTGCCAGGGCCAAGTGGAAAATGGAGCCCAACAAATGCTTGTGGTGAGGCCTCATGTCTTCAAAGGCAAAAATGAGAAAGACCTCCCCCCCCCCAAAAAAAAAAAAAAAAAAAAATCACGTGGCAATGACAAATCAAAGGACAAAGGAATCCCAACTTTTTTTTCCAGCTTTTCACTGTCTTCAGCCTATGGAATAAAGTTCAATTTTATTACAATTAATTAAGGTTTTTAGTTGAGATAAAAAAAGTCAATGGCACGAGCGGGATTCGAACCCTCGATCTTCGGCTTGATACGCCGCTGCTCTACCACTTGAGCTATCATGACCTCGATCCACTCGGACACCAACTTCCCATCTCAACCGCAAAAAAATGGCAAAAAGGAGGAAAAATTCAAAAGGTTGAGATGGGAAGTTAGTGTCTGAGTGGATCGAGGTCACGACAGCTCAAGTGGTAGAGCAGCGGCGTATCAAGCCGAAGATCGTGGGTTCGAATCCCGCTTGTGCCATTGACTTTTTTATCTCAACTTAAAACCTTAATTATTTGTAATATATTAATTGTCAAGCGGACCACGAAATTAATGAATTTTAATGAGTTCAATTTTATATTTTATTATAATCATATTGTTGGATGTCAAATTAATCAAAATAGATATTTGTAGCAGTAACATTGTTGTACATTTGTAAGATGTGTTGCAATAAACTTCATATAAATATTTAATATATAAATAAAATTCCAGGTAAAATACCTCGTAAATAAGGCAAAAATATGGAAAGCAAAACTTCCTGATGACAAAACAAAGGGTAAGAATATCATTTTAATTAAATTAATACTATATTTTCACATTTATGTACATATATATTATATTTGTTTTGTAGAAAAAGTGAATGAGACACAGGGTACGAATACAACACAGAACACGACAGAGAAGGTAGTCCCAGAGCCTGTAGAAGTTCCTCTAGACGATAAGCCAGAAAAGTCCGAAGAAGAATCATCTAAGCCTACTGAAAAGACTGATGAAACTGGTAATCTATGAATTTTATTTAACACGCTTTTTTACATGTTTTCTAAAACTATTTGCACAATATTCGTTTTGCTTCTCTGTTCTGTTATTAATTTATTTATTTATTCAGCTGTTTGTTGTTTCAGACGTTGATACTAAAGTTCCATCTATGTTCACAACAGCTTTAATTGTTACTATTATCCACATCCTCTTCCAAGCTCCTAATGCATTCTGACAATTGTCGTTTTTTTATCGTTTGTTACCACTTTTGTTTTAACCATGCTGCATGTTCTTATTTCCTTCCTAGATTGTTTTAGATTCATTCTTACACTACTGAAAGTTAATCATGTTTTTTGTTTTGTTTGTTTTTATTTGTAGAAAGTGAAAAGAAGAAACATTCAGAACTGTGAAAATGTCGATAAAACTCTCAACATAACAGCGTATTAAACTCACTGATATTTTAAAAATTCCAGAAATAGCCTTTCAAATTAATATGAATACTATCTATCAAGGAACTATTACGATGTAATTTATTTAAATTCTCAGGAAGAAGTTTGTTTTTAAAAAAGAACTGGCTACCGAAGAAGTGTAATTGTTTTTAAGTGCAATGCAGTGGCTAAAGTTGTTCATCTGTCTATTTTCTATTGAACTATTTATTGAACTTTGTCTTGTATATAATATTTGGGTATTGTGATTACTTTAGACGGGAATCAAGAGTATTGTGATGTTAGTTTTTTTTTTTTTTTTTAATTAAACCGGTTTGATCAGAATTGTTCAGTATTAAATGAATAATCCAAAATTTCAAAACTATTTATTGCTGTATTCTTTTTTTTACCAAAAATTAATTTATTTCCACAAAATATTTTTGTGGAAGTATTGTAAAACAAAAGGGATTTCATTATTATTATTATTAAGATTATTTAATGATCACCCAAGTCTTAATTTACCCGTTTACAATAGTAAAATTAATAAAGAATATAAATATATTCTTCATGATGTATGTATTACCCTTTCAATTTCCTATTGGCAAACAGTATTTTTCAGTTTTTGTTTCCAGTAATTGCTCAATAGAGTCCAATGATTTGTAACTTGAAGAAAAGCATATTTGTTCAATTGTTAATTCATAAATTATACTTAAACATTTTCCATTTTCTTTAAATATACTATTTTTTGTTATAATTTTTATTGTTTAATGTTATATATTTTTTAAAGGGCTTTTTATTTCCAACATTCAACAATTGTACTGAAAGTTAGAAAACTTACAACAATTTCAAATATATATAGGGATACAACTCACATAAAATGATTTTGTAAGTCACACTTCAATGCAGAAAATGTCCAGCAGGATAAAGGAGAATATGTATAGGTGTATTGCTTTTTCTGTTATTCATTTTGATATTGGTGATAATTGACAGTTCATAAAATGCTGCAATAGGCATTTAGGAAGAAATGTATTTACATAGAAAATAAAAAATACAATAAAATCAATGCACTCTACTGTAAATAAATATTTAAATAAATAAAAAATTAGTTTTTAAATGTTTAGGTAAAATTAATTTTAAGCAGACTGTGCAGTACAATGTTATGTTTTATTAAAATGAGACTTTTTGTTAGGCTTAACCCCAGGGGTCTTCCACTCTTCCAAATTTAAATATAAGTGACCCGACGAGAATGAATACATTTTGCAGTAGAAGGGCAACTCCTATCCACTTGGGATCTGGAACAAGAGAAAACAACATAAAATACATGGTACTAATACACTTGTCAAAATAAGTACTTGTCACGTGTCCGGCAAAATCGCTGAAAAATATCCAACAAGATGCGATGACAGCGGCGAACCCGCAGACAAAACCGATGAACAACCAAAGCCTTGCGCCTCTCGGCCCCATACATCCACCAGAGTAGAGTTCATTTTGAGTTTGGGAATTAGAGACTACGTTAATCCTAAAAAAGTCGGGGTTGTTTTGTTTTATCCATACTTTCAACCAAAAGTAAAAGGTGAATCTGTTTACTTACATGAATAATGATATTGTACCGGCAACACCACAAATATGATAGGCTCCGTGGAAAACATCCGAATGAGTAACATTAGCATCAATGATTAACCACCAACCTGTAAAAAACTATAAAAACAAATGGGTTTTAAAGCTAAGTTACAAAATATGGGTATATTTAGCTGAAAAAATTTCACATTGTTAACATGTTCAATAGCTAACGTCCAATCTGCAGGATGGATGCAGCTAAATAAAAAAAAGGAAAAATTGAAATCCTAGCTCGCATGTGATGTTCCAAATTACTCCTTGGCAAACTCCTTTGAACATCAGGTTCACTATATTCTAAGCTGAGATCCGTGCAATCCAACTCCATGTTCAGGAAGTGATAAAGAATAAAATGAAAGGTGCACCGTGCATTTACATACTTTTGGACAAGCAGGCAGCTATAAAAAGCACTAAATGCACATTTTCATTCAATTTTGGACTGCCTAATGACCCTAGAAGAACGTAAGATGGTGAGGTGGGTTCTGGGCCATTACGGTATAGGACATGAAAAGGCTGAACAATTAGCCAAAGAAGGGGCTGCTTTTTCACCCGTGGGACCCGAACCACAACTAAGCACACCGTTGAAGCTGGGAAAATGCTTACGAAAAACTAAAGCACTAGGTATGAAGCAAGTTGAGATTCATAAATACTTCAGAAGGAAGGTGAAGGAATCTACACTCACCGGTTTTGATGCTACTTATTGATGATATTTTCTTCAATAAAGTGCCCTAGACAAGAATGGCCCAAAGCCGATATGTATTTGAGTAATATCTAAATAAGTGTAGGTGACCCAGAGCAGGTTTAACTTATGTTGACTTGCAGATCAACACACATCATTAATTATAATAACATAATAAAATTATATTGAGCATCAGATGCCTAGATAAAACAATCTTACCAGTTAGAAGTGTGCAACTGGCCTTAAGGTCCAGAAGTCCACAGATCTTTCATTTATGCCAGGAGAATTTTTAAAGTATTTAGCCATCACACAGTTAAGATAGTCAAATCTGACATCAGATACCTGGAAAATCATAGCAAATATGCAGCCAACCTTGTGGAAGCCTATGATTGAGTTCTTTACACACCTCAGGCAACTAAATAAGTACACAGACAATTTTTTTGAAGTTGTTGCATCGCTCTTAACCCTTAAGTCTGTGCAACAGGTACAACGGGTTTGCCATTGAGGAAAACTTGCTTATGGTGAATGGTGAGGAGTACTGAAGGGTCCTTCCATCCAGGTACCCTTTCAGTGTGTAATTTGGATTAGATGGTAAGTCGCAAATTTCATAGTTTTTATCAGCTTAATGAATCAAATTTACAATTTGACAATAAATTAAATTAAAATTTCAGGCAATTGTAAACAATATGTGAAACATTTTGTTCTACTATGTATGACTACATCTTCCATGTAATTTTGCAATTCCCTCCTACTAGAAATTCTCAGCTCCTCAGGTGCTTTTGCTGAAAAATCCAAGGCGCTAAGCATCTTCCGAATCGAGCAAATCACTTAAGGCCAGCGCTTTCTCATACAACACCATCACCATAATCATTACAAATTTTCTTAGAAGTTTGAGCTGCTGTTTTCCATTTGCAATAATAAAATCCTTATTACATTTTTAAACCTTTTTTCTCTGTTTTCCAGGTAACAATTTTTTTTTTTTTTAAATTGGCCTTATGATCTTGCATATTAGCCTTAGTACGAATTCTTGTGTGTTCAAATTGGGGGTTATCAGGAAAAAAGGGCCAGAGGCGACGGTGGGAATCGAACCCACGACCGCGGCGTGAGAGTCTCTCATGCTAACCACTCGGCTACCGCGGTCCCCCAGAACCACAAAAGTTTGTGTGGTTTTTCATTTATTGTTTTAATACCATTAATCAGCATTTCTTTTTACAAAGTTGGATTAGGTGTTTATATCATGTAATACCAAGAGGATAATGCAATGGTTCATAAAAAAAAGTGTTTTGAGCAGTTTACTGTAAATTATAAAATATTTTATTTCTCATGGCTTCAAAAATCCATATTTCATGCTTACTTATGGTGTGAATTTAAGCATGAAAATAGGGTGGCCAAGACCGCTCATAAAATCCACTGTTTTCAGAGATGAAACAATAAATGAGCCCACTGCTCGAAAGTGGTTTAACAAGTTTCCTTGTGGGAATGGGGGGTTTGAAGATTAACCATTTTCTGGAAGACCTTCTGTCTTGACTGATGACAATTTGATGGAGCTATCGAATAGCTTTTACACAGCTATACTAGCTCTATGTATATCGTATGCTATGTAGAAATATACTTTGTGCAGTGAAAGTAATGAAAGGCAAATGTTTCGATGCTGGAGCTTAACAATGGTCAATTTATGAGGGGAAGCCATTTGCTCTGCTTATAGGTCTTCCCAAGTCTATGTAAGCTAAAGCAAAACACAGACAACTTTCTAGTGGCCACGTGCCGGTTCAACACGAACCTTCTGACACGTTTAACACAAATCAAGTTTGATAACTTTCCTAAATTTGTGGTCATTCAAGACAGAATGTCTACCAGAAAGTGGTTCATTTTCACCACTTATGTCTAATGCACGCGCTTATTGTCTCATCATCCAATGCATTGCAAATTTTATTGCCCAGGTCACCCTAGTAGCGAGCCTAAATTCATACAATAAGTACGCACATAAATTCTAGGATTTGAAGCCATGAGAAATTTTTTTTTTATAGTTTACAGTGAATTGTTCAAGACATTTTTTTCTTAACGAACTGATGAATTCCTCTTGGTATTATATGATAACACTTAATCCTACTATGTAAACAGAAATGTTGATGAAAAAATGCACAAACTTTTTTCATTACTTGGTTAATTAGCCAAACATAATGTGAAAATAGGAGAACTCGAATGAAACTAACGAATAAATACACCTCAACTAATCCCTTTTCAGTGTGTAAACAATAACTAGAAGGATAATGAAAAGAAGGATAAAATCGAATTATTGAAAAATACTTTGGACTTATTTTACAGCCCAATATTTCATATGTAGTTTAGCCAGTTCTGATCGTCTGGGTTTGGGCCTGTCAAATGCGTTTCAAACCTGACCAGGATGATTGAAATTGACCAAAATTCAGTCTTCAAAAAGTAATCTCACAAAAATGTGTAACCGCTTTACAAAGAAAGATGGACTTTTTATGGCAAATAATTAATCAATTGAAAAAAAGGTCATTAACGCTAATTTTATTTATACGCCAACACCTTTAATCCCTTTTAGTGAAATAAAACGTTATAGTTTAATCATGTCTTAAAGTCAGCCAGTGAATGTCTAAAATCTTCTTGGTTTTCTCATCAAGCACATTCTTATTAAATTAATTATTGTAACAGAAATCTCCTGAGAAAGACATTCAATCTTGAACATGAATGTTTTGTTTTCATGCAGGAAAAGTGGAACTGTTTCACTGTACAACACAACATAATAATATATAATTACATAACACGTAAATATTTACAATATGGTGAAGTAATTACCAATGTTCCTGATACGAAGGAAGCTAAAGCGTTCCTTTTATCTCCTCCTTCGAACCAGATGCAAGAAGTCAAATATTCCATTAAACTGCCCATGTTTTCTTTTCCACTCCCTTGGCTTTTCTCTCTCGATTGACTTTGTTAAAAAAATGTAACTAGAAACTGTCAAACAAAGGAGCCACTGAAAGGACGCACGGTTAAATATTTCACATATAATACTGCAACTTAAATTCCCATCAACAATAACAAAAACGGTAAGTTAAAGGTTTACACGATCAGAACGTTCAACGTTCAACGATCAGGCAATGATCATGATCGTGCGGTTCCAACATGCAACGATGAAAATAACAATCGATACATTTTTCAAACATCGATACGAAATCGAAATTTTTAAAAATTTATATTTATTTTATGAGAAGAAAATTGTGTACAAATATAATAACGTTGATTGATAAATTGGCTACTTTTACTTATGAATAATCACGTTTTTCTACTCAGTACCAACATAAATCTCTCTCTATTAGTTTCAGGGTTTTTATTCTTCCAAATATCTCTGAAGACTGTCTAAGTTTTCTTTTATTTTATATGTCATATTTTACAGATTTGAACATTACACTTATTTTTCTGCCAATGCACGCGTAAAATGTTGATCAATGTGTCCCACTAAATTGAAGGGTGCCCATCCTTGACTCTGTATAGAGAGCATGTAGAAATGACACCCGATATGAAAATTATGCTTGATTTTTAAAAGAAACAAGCCTGTTTTACTGTATATCTTACTTTATAGATGTTTCTTTGTATATGCTGATACTGAACGTATTTTTTTAGCATGAATGTGCAATGTGAGAGAGCTCATGGCAGAATATTGAGTACTCCCTCAGCCCTCATTATTTAATATTTAGTCACTCCTGGGCTAAAAACCCAAGACCATTCCTCATCCATTAAAACTGGATCAATATAAAAATCATATTATCATCAACAGGCTACTTATAAGTTCTGGTAAACAAGAGAAAACAATATTTTTGTTCTAACAAACATATAATGTATTTCTTTTATATACACAATTAAATCAATATTTAAAATTTTATACAATTGTTTTGGTCACAACTTTAAACAGGTTGTGATAAAATATTGTTAATACTTTGTAGTAAATATGAAAAATAAACAATTCACATTTGAAAATTAACATACCACTAAACTAGAATAATCTACACGGTTCATAGTTTTGTATCTATAATACGTTTAATTATCTATAATTTTATACAATAATTGCTCTGTCAACACCACAGCACAGATCAACACAACCAGCTTTAACAAAATATACCTCTTAATTTATAAATCTTAATTAATCACTAATAATTAATAAATCTTAAAATTGTTTTTAACTTTCCATATGATACAAACTTTCATATCCAACCTAAAATATTGCACGATATAACATTATAGTAGTTTAACACATTCATTACATAGGTCGATTTGGAACAATGCAATAACGCAATATATCCTTTCCCATATTTGGACATTGTTCCAGAAAAACGCACTTCTTTTAGAAAACCCCCGTTGTTTTTCAAAGCTTATTGTAGGGCGTTGGTTTCCCCCCCCCCCAATTGAATCTATTTCATACGACTTTAGTATCAGTTCAATTTCACGATTTGTACATTATTTTTAACGGCTTTTTGAAGAAAAAAAATTTCCCCCTTGATAAGTAAGTTTTTATCATACCATTGCGAAATACAATTCTCTTGTTGGTAAATCTTTTTCTTTCTCAAAAATACTATGATTTGAAGGGATAATTAAGGACAGCACGTTAAAGTACTTTCTTTGTTTATCTATTTGACCTTTTGCCTCCTTGCAGTTTATTGTTTTACATATTTTTTTATTAATTGTAAATAAGTAGTAAATATAGAAATAGAATTTGTAAATATGATTTTATAATTATTTACCAATTTTAATTATATGCTTTAAAAACATATTTTATTATATATATAAATATGTATTAAGTAATCATTTTACACTTGTGTTTAGATATTTATAATTATCACAAATAAATTTGATTCATAAGTAATCAATTTCTACTAAATACAATGTGAATTTATTTTTTATTCATTTATAGAATCAGTAAATTTTTTTTCTTAATATATGGGCATACATAAATATTCAGAGGATAAATAATAGATATTGCTGGTTTGCCTTACAATCCCCATATACGGACGCCATTTCCGAACAACATGCCCAAAAATTTAGAAAAGGATTTTTTAAAGCAAAATTTTAATCAAGGGTCATTTATAAACCTAAAAGATTTCAAAACTTAAAAAAAAAAAAAAGGGAAGCGTGTTTTGGGAGTGCTTACAAATTAGTGCCGTAATGAACGTGTTAAATGAAAAAAAAAAGTTTAGTTTAATTCTAAAGTTTCTTCTTTGGTCAAAATTCAAACAGAAAATGTATAGTAGTAGGTAACTGTTGTCTCAAAGATAAAGTAATTACAAAGTGCACAATTTTTCCAATCAGTATCAGTCAAAATAAAATATGAAAACATTTATAGTCTCTGTGTGATGACTATGGCATTGTTTTATTTCCAATACTGATGGCCTTATTAAACTGGAATAAATAGATCCAATGGTTAAATTTGTTAAGTTAAAATGACTGCAAAAATATATTATGCAATATTTTTAACCTTTTTATGAAATCGTTTAAAAAAGTATATATACAATCGATCATAATTCGCCCATGGCAAAAATGATATTTGATAAAGCAGTCCTGGCATCGCTGTCTTGAAAGGCACTCAACACTTCCAACGCCTTTTGAGAATGTTCCCTTTGGAGTTGTTTCGTTAGCTCGATCCCTGGTCCTTTTGAAACTACACTGTACACCTAAAAACATAATTTGATCGACATTTTTGCATTGAAAGTTAATCAATTTACTCACTTTTCCATAGTCTACAGCGTGTACTGTGTCCAAACCTTTGTCGATTTCGTCATAAAGTTTTGGATCGTGTTCCAAATGGAACATGACAGGGGCTGAGGTCAGATTGAAAGTAGATCCAGGGATGAAATTTGAAGAAATGAAGGGCTCTAACTCTAAGCAAGCCTAAAAAAAAAACGATGGCTTAACAATTGTCCGCTAAGATTTTTAACTAAAAATAATTACCTGCCAAGCCAACGCTAGATGTTTACCGAATTTATAACCCTGCTCTTGTATCTGCTTCGTATGACCGGCTAATTTCAAAGTTCCTTCACAAGATTTTCCCAGGAGACTTCCAGCTGAAAGGACGTTCCTCTGGGTCCAATCGGAAAGAGCACTTTCACTCGATCCAGGTAACGGATTGTTTTGTTTATCCCTTCTTCCGATAAATTCACTTACAGCCTGATCTAGTACTGCACTTGACATCAAGTGTACCACCTAATAATTATTAATTGTAAATAATATTATATTTATATAAAAAATAATTTTCAATTTTTAAATAATAAATGAGTCACTAGTCTTTAGTTAGTTCCAAAAGGCTTGACACCACCTTACAGTAACAACAAAAGCTCTCGTAGCTCATGTCTGTCCGTCTTTCTGTACAGAAATCACCATCCTTTAGCTGCATTGTAATAAATAATGATTTACAATTGTTAAATAAACACATAAAAGCAGTGAAAGTGTTATCCCTACTGTACATAGTAGTCAGTGCATTGTGCTGTAACTAGGGCAGAGTCTGTGATTTAATAAATAAAAAATTAAAAATTATGTTAATCAAAATAAAGTTATTTTTACTTTCATTTCCTCTGAACCGATTAAATATCAATAAAAGTAAATAGCGTTTTATAAACTTACATCGTTGTTTCTTAACGCAGCGAGCTCAACGCAGGATGTACAAAGTAAATAATCCCCACTGAGAAGGGCTATTTTATTTCCGAATGTCATGTCGTTCAGAACTCCAGCTTCGGAATATTCATTTTCATAAATGTTCACAAGCCCTTTATGGACCAAATGACTTGTTCTGATCATTTCAGTCACTTCTGCAAGAGCTCTTTGACTATAAAACAGTAAATACATCATGTGAAGGAAGAAGATAATGTGCATTTGGCAAATAATTACCAAAATAAATACATTTTAAAAGATCCATCATTTGAATGAAACATTATTGGTTTGAAGGTAATTTCTAAGCATTTTTAACTTTAGCAATCTACATTTTATATTTAGAATATATGACATTAATTACCTATAAAGGACGCCTGCCGCTTTATCCTCTTCCATGTCTTCAACTTTCCTATGGCCCGCTGCTTTTGAAATAAGCAAAACAATTAATCCCCATGCCTGCATATTGTTTCTGCCATTGTAGATTAGACTCCTAAAAATTACGCAAAGAAGAAAATCAGAAAATATAATATGAAAAAAATTTGGCTGGAGTGTGAAGGGCCTGTATGATTTTAATGGTGCAGAAAAAGAAACAGATAGGGGAAGGATAAACGCAACATTAAAGATTCTCGATTACTTAAAACTAGAGACACACCGAAGATAAAATGTTGCGTCTGACAGGTCAACCCAGCAAGGATAGGCAGTATGAATTGATTGTAAGGAACAATTCGTTCCAAAATAGGCCAAAAACCTGATACAGACACAACTGACCAAAACCAAAATTTTATTCACAAGTTATGCCCACCGCACCAGCCAGGAAGCCCGTACAGAGCTGCAGGACTTCGCGGATGGTGCAGAAAATGGAGGATAAAAGTAATCCAAACAAGTTGCAGACTGTACAATTCACTTATCGCCGCAATGTGACAAATGAAGTCATCCAGCTACAGGGACTACCCGTACCACTTGCATTATCTGTTCACTATCTCCAACTGGATCATAAATTAGTATGGGATGTGCACATTAAAAATGCTGTAACACGAACTAGACACCGGATGTACTCCTTAAAACATCTCCTGACCAGCCAAAATATACCCCTGCATATCAGACGCTTCATTTATGTAACAGTAATAAGACCGATTTGGCAGTACGGCTGTTCAATATAGTCCTCGTCATCAGATACACAAATAAAGAAAATCCAATGTATAATATTATGTAGTATCTACTGTGATAATAACTATAATGTACCATTGTACAAATAAAGTTTCTTCAATAATAATAAAAAAAAAAATCAAGTTATGATTTTATTTCATTCATTACAAAAAAACATAGATGTTTAATCTTGATTTTGAAATAAACTGTACCAGACGGTTTCACAGAGTGATTTTGAAGTACTGTATGTGGTAACAGTTCAGGTAAAGGGCAAGGTCACAGTAGCTTGTAAGAATATGTCTAGGTGTCAAGGGTAACGTGAGACTTGAAACTCAAGACACAAACTTGTCCATATTATCTTCCACACCAAGTAACAATTTTATAAATAAATTGGTAATAGTTAATCTGGATATTATGACATACTACAAAGAGATTTTTGTTCAAATGTGTTGTTTGAATAAGCATAAAACATAAGGTCGAGGAAATGCTGTCTAGGTATGGCAAGAACAGAGCCTTTCTTAAGGAGATTTATCAACACAAAACATAGTTGGAATTATATCATGTTTTTGTTTGGAATAATTTGAATAAGAGAGACATTTATAGTTTCTTAGTTTATTAGAGGAAATTACTTATTATTAAATTAATAAAGTCTGAAAGTGAATGGAATTCTTGTTAATTACATAAAGTACCCTGATGACACTGTCATGCTTGCAATAAGTCTGCCAAATTGGCAAGTTTCATTGGATTATGTTGCTGTACAGAAAGGACAGGGGCTAGGGAAATAATTTTTTCGCTATTTGCCATTGCCATGCCCCGTGTCCCTAGTTTTAAATGAATCGAAAATGGAGGGAGGGAGGAAAAGAGAATGTGGGGTGATAGAGTGTTATATGAGTGAGCGTGCAGGGAAAAGTGAGTGCATCAGAGTATAATTGTGAGTGTATTGTCTGTTATTGAATGAGAAAGAATGTTGGGGCTAAGGGGGTGAAAACACGCGTTTGTGCATTGAGCATGCACGCACGAAAATCCGTGAATGAGCAAACGCGAGAGAGAGCGCGTGCTATGACTTAGAAAGCGAGCGTATTGACGTCTTGACGGCATCATTCGTAACTTTCGCGCGCTCGAGAGTGCGTGTAAGTACGGAAATGTTTATCTCGTCCTTGTGAATGATCGAGCGAGAGGGATAGTGAATGATTTAAGGAGAAAGCGTCCGTATAACCTACATACCAATATATCGTCCTTGGGACCTATTGTCTACAAAAATAACGCAACTCTTTCACACAGATAATTAGAAACGAAACAATATTTGTACTAAGTTAGTCGATAGAAAATAAAAAAAACAATAGGTAAAGCATTTGATAAATACAAAATGACATATTTAGAAGACAATCAACTTTTAAAATAATTACTATAAATTCAAACAGTACTAACAAAAGAAGTTTGCAATACAAATAGCAAATTTGAGGACACATTGTAGTTTAATTTTGTCATGTGAATTTGATATATTGATCATCTTCTGCTATCATCCTTGAATAATACATAATTATAGAAGATGATATGACAAGGTGACAATTGTAATTCTAAACTACGGTTTCGAATTTTTTAGAGTTTTAGTTGAAGTTTTTCATTAAATATTTGCTTTACGAAGCACCTCAGGAATAATGTGTGTAAATAAATATTCTATCCATGTTATGAACATTTTTTAAAAATATATTTTTCTTTTTTTAAGTTAAATTTTCAAGAGATAATTACTTGGCAGTTTTGAGAAGTGGGTGATTTGAACCGACGAGTTTTCTCAGATGTAGGGCCACGTTGGCGATCTCATCGCTGAGAAGCCACCGGAGGCTGAGGAAGGACGTCGGGTATCCGACGATCTTCTCAGCCTCAGAGACGGCCCGGTTCCAGTCCGGCCTCTGACCGCCCGCCGAGTAGTGGGCCGAGGCGGATTTGACGATGAGCCGATCCTGCCTCGCGAGAAAAGGCGAAACCCAACGGACCACACTGAGTAAAGAGCTCGTGAACGCCATTTGTGTCTCGAAGGCCTCACGGACGAAACTGAAAGAGAAAATGTGAAAGTGAAATGAAAACTGATTGCATTAGCCGGGGAAGACGAGCCGTGAAGAAATCCTAAACCCCCTCCACGGCTGGACGACGTCCCCACCAGACGAAAGTGAAAGGAATTCCAAATTACCATTTTACAACTAATCCAATTGTTTATTAACTCTATTTCTCCTCTATAAACGCACTTAAGTCAATAAAACTTATTTTGGTCTAATTTTAAAAAGAACTCGTCTTTTGCCTTTACCCTTCGACGTCTCATTTCGCTAAGAAAACACCTTTGGTGCACACCTGTTACTAATAAATCTAATAACTAATTAAAACACCAAAAAATTTTCTTTTTGAAAGAAATTTTAATCATTTCTAATTCTAGAAAACCTTTGATATGTTAACAAAAGGTAAACAATGTCACTCGCTGACTCCGTGATACTTCCCATGACGTCATTGAAGTACCACGTGAAGTCTTGGATAATTCTAGATGTAGATCAGGGATGTGGTCCAACCAATAGCATTGCAATAAACTTAAAGTTGAATACAACACTAATTACAATTTATGTAATACAAAACTCAAAATAATAATGTATAATGTAATTAATTATTAATCTAATCAAGTAATTATTCTTTTTATATAAGGTCTTGGTTGAGATGAAAAAGTTAGTGCCATGAGCAGGATTTGAACCCATGAATTGAACATCTACATAATTAAATATATTTGTGATTCTGATTTAATTTCCCTAAGGCCTTTGTTGGGTTCGAATCCCACTCATGACACTAACTATTTCATCTCAACCAAGAACTAACATAAAAATAATTAATTAAAAGAGGTAATTTGGTCAATTAGACCACTAAACATAATGGGTAAATATCTAATTTTAATTAAATACAATTAATATCAAACTTGTTTGTTTTTAAAATGTGGCCATTATATATTCCAACTTGAAAAAAAATCTAAAAGTATAAATATTCAAAATAATTAGTAAAATTAAACTTTTTATTAGCCTTCCTGGTAAGGCTGAGCAATACAGTTAATATTGTATAAATAACATATTCTTCTCTTAGTTCTTGGCTTTTGATACCAATCTGTGCCATCTGGTTGTTTTATTACGAGGGTATCTAAAAATTGTCCTGTTTTGATGTTTTTGATTTCATTGGTAAATTGTAGGCATGGGTGGGGGGCATGCAAAATAAATATAATAGAAAACAGCTGTGTTTGAACATGTTAATTGTTTGTATTTTTTTAAGTGCAAGGAAAGAGATAACTATTAATTGTTCGCTATTTCACCGAATAGTTAATTTTGTTAGGTATTTCCAGATAACGATTTGAAGCAGCCTTGACATCCCTTTTAAACTTAAAACTTTGATTTAAAGATGGGTCGAAATACATTGCTTTTTTAATAAGTTGGTCCCTCAGGGTTAAAATTTCCTTGAGCTGTTTTGAAAAAAAAAATCTTTGGTCTGCATAAGAAATGTAATATGTCTAAAATTTTTATTCTTTCAACAAGGGTTAGGATGATTTTTTTCCGTTTTGGAAGAGGAGGCAGTTTGCGACACCAATTCCACGGGAGATTAAAACAAACGCAAACTGAGAGTTAGAGCCTGTAATCCATTTTTAAAATTATTTTTGGTACGAAAATAAATTTTCTTACACAACTGTTCGTCTTCTCTGCTTGCACTTACATGTCTTCCTCGACTCTTTCCCCCAAAACCGTTAAAACTCAACTGTCCTTTTACCCTCACTAGCACTCTCTTCGGTCATACCCAGGGGGTAATTGGTCCGATTGGTCCGAGTGCTCTCTTCCCACATATATATATACATACATAAGTTTACCCAAACTTTTATACATTTGCCAAGCTTTCGGCGTATATATTTTGCCTTCCTCAGGTCAAATTTATGACCATTTGATCCAGTTTTAGTAGTTTTTATTGTTTAGTAGTTCTTATTTCTTTAAGAGTTATGTTATACATCTGTGGATAAGTGTAGCCTCACACTGTTAGTAGATGTTGTGCCATTTTCTTCTTTGTAGAATCTGCATGTATGGTATGGGTTAATCTATGCTCTACAAGTGCCCAGTCAGTCTGCAGTGCCCTGTTAAGAATCCCGTTAGAATTTGAATTCTCTTCTTTTTTAATTTGGTGCATTTTATTGTTACTTTCTTTCCAGGATTTTGTATTGTTCAACATGTCTTCTTGCCTAAGATGCTTGTTGATAATATGAATCCTTATATCACAAAAGGGTTGATGACTTATCAGCGGTGTAGCAGCCCTTTTACTTAATTTTTGATGGCTTTGTCTACCAAACGCATTTTGTATTTTCAAGTCTAACCAAAGTAAAAAGGCATTTAAGAAAGCAAGTAGGAATAAACATAATATGATTTTATATTTTATTGAACATTAAGGTAAAAATTGAAAATGTGTTTATTACAGGTATAATTAAAAAAACAAAAAACAAAAAAACAAAAACGAAGACAAGATGGTAAAAATTCATATCACAAACATTTATTCTTTCTTTATAAAAAAGAAAGCAATTCAATTAAAATTAATTATAGTAATTATTTGATGCAATAAACAACAAATGCATACATACAAAACATAATAATAATAATAATAATAATAACATTCCTAGAAATGTAAGCATATCTAAACAAACTGAGGATTTTTAGGAGGATAATTCAGAAGCGTATAATTATATTTCTTTGTAAAGTTAGGTTTTATAGCTTTTAAGGCTACTCGATTAGATATTGTGGTAGAATAATGGACTTATTTTATAGACTAGAGAAGAAATGCAATAATTATTTAAGAAGGTGTTTTTATTTCTTGCTTCAAGCAAACTTTAAAGGCATCCCATCCCTCACTTTTTGTATTAAGCTGAAAAGAAATAATAATAATAATACCAATTAATAAACATTGTCCAATGAAAAAAACAAAACAAAAAAAAACCTTAAATCCTCTGTGCAGTCGGTCTTTCATTATAGCAATGAATTCTCGATAGCTGAGTTGGCCGTCACCGTCTTCGTCGAAAATCGCAAAAACAGTATGTACCAAATGCTTGCTTAGGGTTGTTCCTGTGCAGATCATCACCGCTCTGTGGAATTCCTCTGAAAATTCAATCTGTTCAGAAAATTTCCCACTATTCAATAAACTACGTCCGCACCTTTTGAGATAGGGTGATCGGCGAGTGTGTACATCTTCATTGCTATGGCGAAATCCTCGAGGTTGTTGAGAAACTGGAAAAAGACTTTGAACTCCTCAAATGATATGCCAGGCATTGATTTCAGACGGGTGACCAATCGCTCTAAATGCATTTCATGACTACAACACAAATAACATTTGGAGTACAATAAAACTATTTTTGGATTTTCTAAATTTATTCAGTTTTGATTTTCCTCATATTTACTATCATTTTTAAATAAAATAATGGTAATTGATTATTACACATTTAACTTGAGGTACTTACGACTCTGCATCTAAATATGTATATCTTAATAAAATTTTTGCAAAATCAACTTCACTTATTGTATTTTTCCCTTTTGAATATTCATCAAATTCCACCTCTAGAACTTCTGTTTGCAAGTCTGCCATGAACCTATGAACAAAGAAAACTTAAATTTTAATAACTACACAGTTTACACATTTGAACATTAATGTTTTTGATCTGGAAACAGAAATTTTTTGCATGACTATTTTTGCATTGCAGGGGGTGAGCATGGATTGGGTTAAATTAGGTTAGGTAAGGTAGAATTAAGATTAGAAATAGGTTATTTGGAGATCATGAGATGCGGTCTGGTGTGATGTAGGTTTTAGAAAAACATTTTCTTTATTGTGCCAACATTTCGATCTTTATTGAGATCATATTGAGATTCAGTTGTTTTCTGTTTAGATGTGTCATGTTGAGAGTGCCCACGACACACAAGAATGACACATCTACACAGAAAACAAACACTTTGAGCCCTGAAGATGATCTCAGTACAGACCGAAACGTTGGCACGACAAAGAAAATATTTTTTAAAACCTACGTCAAACCAGACTACATCTCACCATCTCCAAACATTCATTGGCTAAGGCCACTAAACACCACATATTAGGAGAAGGGTTAAAATTAGGATTAGGGACATGTAGAGTTAGGGTTATTTTAATAAAACCTTACTGTCTGAAACCCTCATAGCGTAGTTCGTCTTTCCCTTTGTCTCCAAAGAAATGTATTGTCAAAGTAGTATCGACATTGTGCCTTCTCTGAAGACCTTGCTCATCGTCAACATAGTCTTCAGTTGCTGAACCCTGCACGGTTAGCATGTCACCTTCGTCTCCAAGGCCTCGTTTGTCCTTCCAGGCATGGCTGAATATTTTTTCCATCTGCAAGTTTACATCAAGTTTTGTGAAAATTTGAAATAGTAAAAAAAAAAATTAAAAAAAAATAAAATCAATAAAATCAGGATAATGGAAACAATGTGCTTATGCAACATGAAATGGTAAAGCAACACTAATGAAAAATGAAAAAAAAATGTCAATAAGAAATTATAGATGACATTTTGGGGTCAGATATTAATTATTAAAACATTTTTCTGACAAATAATAGCGGCAGAAGAGAAAGAGTAAACATGTACGTGAATGGCAGTGATAAAAGTAGCCTGGAAATGTAATTAAATATTAAACATTTACACAATTAATTTGAAAGGAATGATGAAGCAAAAATTTGTTTTTAACTGATCAAAATTTTAACTTTAATAGACCTTTAAAATTTTAACCTTTAATAGAATCATTTTTAAATTTGTAATTTGGTCATTAGACATCATTTTGGTATCCTCACTGGGTCGGTCTTTCAGACAGCATTTCACCATCTTTACTAGTAGGTCTGTGTGTTTCTTCAGACATGTCCCTTTTATATTTCCTACAGATCTACCAAATTATTTAGGCCAACTAAAATTAAGTGAATGACCGATCGACAAAAAGACGCTGAATATGGATAAATGCAAAACACATCTGATAGACCAAGCCAGCAAGCAGATCAAATCGGGATGATTGGTAACAACCAAATTTCAGGTTCATCCCCCCCCCCAGTGTACAGAGAGAAATAAGGACGATATACTTTTTAGTCTTTTAAAACATTAGTTTTACATAAGTCAAATACTTTATGGCATTGTTTAAATAAATTCAAATATCATTTACTGGATATCATAATGCAAAGAAGAAAATAGAATTAAAAGAAGTAAAATATTGATACACAAATTCTAATGTTGCAAATAGATTAATGTTAAACTTAGAAATTGGTGACAACTATGATTTTGATGATTTCATGGCCAATCCAATCTGTTACTGAAACACAAAGTTAGCTCAAATGTGATGAATACAAGGTAACAAAATGTAAGCAAAGCATAAATTCTTCAAGCAGATGAGCATGACTCATGTTTTGGTTAAAGGTTGCAGAAAAACAACAGCAGTAGTATTAGAGATTTGAGTTAAAGATCACCACAGACATTTTTTTAATAACCTGAATTCTCAACTCACTGTTTTCTTATCACCTCTGTCGTTTACTTTCTGGTTTGCAAAAATTTTCTTAAGCTGTCAAAAATTCAATCAAAACTTGATTATTCTGTTTTGTCTTTTTTTAAATATAAAAATGACCATAATTTACAGTTTGAGTAAAAAAACAACAAAAACAAATAAATACTTCTTATGAAATACTGCCAAAGAAACAAAGAGGGAAGTAAAAGTTATTTTAATGGCTAATTAGTTGTCAGAAATGAGTAAACTGTGCTGAAAAAAGCAAATATAAACTATTCGATTAAAAATAAATGATATAAAATAAATTATAATAAATAAATCAAAAATAATTACTACAATTACTCTACTAAAAATTCTATTGATGAATTTTCTCACTTACGACAAGAAATTCATTTTTATCGATTCTTTCATTTCCATCTGTATCAAACATATTAAAGGCAATCCTGAATCCTGACAATGGCTCTAAAACATAAGATTTATTGCTAAAAAAATTACTAAACATTGTGTGGAAAATTAAATAAAAAAAAAGAAAAATTAACAAATTGGCAAAACATTTATCATGCTTACTTGTTAAAATTGAAAGAAGAAAAAGGTATTCAGTATATGAAATTATCCCTGAAAAAATTCCATATTATAAAACACAAAAAAAATAAATCAAATATATATTTTTTTTAACCTTTATCCTTAATAGATCTGAACATTTTGGAAGACCCTTTTGAAAGTTTAGGCGTAGCTTTCTTAATCGAATCCAGATCTTTGCTCGACAGAATTCTTCTCTTGTCTCTGACTGCAATCGTACAACGATTAAAACACTGAAAGTACTTTAGTATAAATTAAATTTACAGTCAGGCTCTTGGTGTATAAAGGAGTCGAGAAAATCTCTGGGTGTCATGTAAATCTGCCCGTCATATTCTGCTGATGCGAATTTCAGAAATCTTCTTTCTCTTGAGGTCAGCTTTACCTCCTTAAGCTCTTCTTCTTTCTACAATAGGATAGACAATTAGAGAAATTTATTTTATAAATGATTTGGGCACCATCCTATTACTCTTAAAATCCTTTGAAACATACCGTGCATTATATCTATTTATAATGCAATAATTCACACAATCAATTTTCCCATCCAGAGGAACTGTCTTTAACAATCCCAATTGCAAAAACCGTCCTCTTATAGACCAATAAACTTCCTTCCTATTTTATCCAAAATCTTCAATAATGACTTCCTTAAAAGTCTAATATTATTCTCTCAGAACCTAATCCCCGACCATCAGTTAGGTTTCCAATCCCTCAAGGAGGGCTTTAGAACAGTAGATGCAATATTTTTAGAAGACAAGCAATAACTGCTTTGGACATTTCAGAAGTATTCAGCTGAGTTTGGTACCCTGATCTCTTTTTCAGGTTATAAAGTATCCTCCTGGTTTTAAGTGAAAATCAGCCCTTATTTTTCATGCATCAAGACAATCAAAGCTGAGTTTCACAAGGAAGTATCCTAGGACCAATCATCTAAACAATCTACACTGCTGACAAACCCCCTAAATGATTGAACATGACTGTTGACATAAACACACCCTTCGACACTACTGTAACCTGACAGAAGCAATCCAAGAATATCTGGACCTCATTACTGACGTGTGTTAACTCATGTGATGTTTATGCTCAGATGTCAGACCTGCCCACTAATGAACATAAGCAACGAGCAACCCTCCATCCAACTAAGTTCACTACGGCTTCACATAAAATCCAGATACAAGACAAAACAGACAAGAAATATACGGACCTCTCGGATGCCTGCTTTGTCTGATATCTACATTAAGCATAACAAATTAACCACTTTCAAAACTCTCATTAGACTGACTTGGATTTATGAAAACAAACTGTGGAACTTGGACAAATCCTCCAATATCCAATGAATCTTTTTAATAAAAATTCCTCTGTTGCATCTTCAACACTCCATTTTACATCACCAATCTAACAATTCACAAAGACCTAGACATCCAATCTGTGAAGGATCTCATCAAAATCCACAATTTCGATCCTAAGCAATCCCTCCACCTTAAGTTCCTAATCCACTAGACCGAACTCTTTCCTCAAAGTTCTATGCTGTCTAAAACGACAATGGCCTCATGACCTCCTATGACCCTTTACTAGTCCTAATTAAACCAAGGAAAGTTCCAGCACAGCCTGGCTTCTCTCCTGAACACATATGTGTCAGATTTATGATATATAATATACAGATATATGTACATATACTAATTACTCAATGTATATTTTTTGTACATACAGCAATAAATAAGTAATTAAATTTTTTTTTCTATAATAGCCTATTGTTTTAAGTGTAATTAAATTAATTAAATTTAACAATGTAGAAAATGATGGACTGAATAAAGAATAAGGATAATAATCGAAGTAACACTCAAACATTGTGACATTCTGGGAAAAGAAACACATGATATAATTTCAATTTTGAGGTCTGAAACTATTCATAAAATTTATAGGCGTGGATAAGAAATAAATATGATTTCTTTTATTTCACAGACGACTTCTGCCGTATAAATTATTCACGATAAGGAGCCTCCTTGTCGCGGTGTAGCAGCCCCTTGTTCTGGAAGGAAGGACTAGACGCAATTTGTCAAACCTAATGGTTTATGTGGGTTTTTCAAGGTTTCCAAACCAGACTTATTTATCACCATATCCGATCCAATTAAAAGTAATGGAATTAAGAGGAGCCTTATCGAATCTGTTATGATCTAGCTTTTTAGTTCGACAGGCGGGGTGGCCCGAGAAGAAGAGGACCGGTAGGGATTGCGACACGAGCGGTAATTTTAATGCCTACGATAATATGTAAGAGTTTGATTAATAGCCGTCTGGAAATGAAACGTAGGCCTTTTTTTGGTTGATACATTTTACTAGATGTGTTGAGCACCAGTTTTCTCTTTTTGGGAACCAAACACAAAAATCCTTATAAACAGCCCACCCAGAATTTGAAATTTCGTCCGGAAATCACTGCTATCAATTCCCAAGACAATATGAGACAATATATCTTTTATTGCGTCAGATTTGAAAGAAATTGGTTAAATAACTCCTTAAGATGAGTAGCTACCGAGATAAGAGGAAAAAAATCAATTTTTAACTGTTTTAAATGTAGGCTTGAGAACCTTGGAATGTCAATAATTTTCGAGGATCAATGGCGTATAAACTAGTTGGAGCAATTAACATCTTTAATAAGTTGTAATGAACTTTTTCTTATTCGATCCGACTTCGAAGTCATAATAGCTCAAGTGGTAGAGCAGCGGCGTATTTAGCCGAAGATCGTGAGTTCGAATCCCGCTCGTGACATTGACTTTTTTTATCTCAACCAAAACCTTTCATAAAGATTAATTAACTGAAAAAAGTCTTTAATAATACTAACATCGGGGTCTTACGACCGTCTAGGGAGTCTACTTATTTTTTAAGATCAATTAAGATTTGTATTTACAATGAAGTAGATCGTATGAAAACAATTGTCACTATTAAAAGTTTTCTAACCAGCAGGGGATTAAGTTTTCAAAAGGTATAATAATATGATGCTATAGTCACGACGATTCAATTGACTTATTTCATTGTTTTCGACGTTAATTCAAATCAGTGGCTTTAATCGAATTGGTGCGCCTTTCCTCACTTGTTCGATCAGACAAATGTGTTTCAGCATTTCGTATTCATCTGAGGTAGGTCGGTGTAGGTCGAAGGAGCAAAAGATCAAGAGGAAAGATTACGAAGAGATAGATAGTACGAAAAACTATAAAAGACTACATGCTAAATTACAGCGGTGTCCTGTGAGAAATACGGAAAACGACAAAATTACCCTTTGTTTGGGTGCCAGGATATACAGGGCAGAAGGGCACTAAGATGCCGAAATTGGCCAAGGAAAATTCCATCACCTATCGATCTAGAACCGGCATACTAATTGAAAAAAAAAAAAAAAAAATAGATCTCTAAGACTAAATTTAATGAAATAGCTTTCAGAGGCATGCATTGGTTAAACGACCATTGCAGAAACTAACAGCATACCAAAGTGCCGAAAAAGTAGATCCATCGGGCTGGATGCATTATAATTGATTAAGAGTAGCTCCTCGGTTCAATGGGATTGTAGTTTAGGCCAGAGGCATGCGGAAGAGTTCAACAAGAAACTAACAGCAGAATTACTAAGCCTAGGACGAGTTAGAACAGGGATGACTGCTGATTTTGGAGGCATACGTAGACTCGTGTCAGCAGAAACATGTCCTCTGTCGGTGCGAAGGTACGGCTGAAGTTCCTACACCTTGGAGAGGAACAGCCATGGCCTGAAGGATACGCAAGAAGCCTTTAATATTGCTTTAGGTTCTCGTAATAAGCCTTAAGGTTAACGAAGAGTTCTAGAAAATAATGGGATGGCAAAATAGACCAATATTGGTTCTCAAGGTCGTAAAGCGTCGACTCCTTAAACCTTAAATTATAGGTGTCTCATTACTATGCACTTAACAAAAAAAGGGATTGTTTATTAACGATATTTTCAACAATAAAGACTCATTTTTTTTACATTTGTTCTGCAAACCAGCCGCCGAAGATGGCAAGAAGTCTGGCCACGTCTGATCGGCCAAAACAGCGAGGATAGGCAGGAACAGGAAACCCTACCTTGACAGTGCCGCCCAAAAACCGCTCATCAATTAAACCCTCGTGTTAGTACTATTATAAATGATATATTGTTGTTTGATGGTGAGTGTATCGCTGTGGTAGACAAGGAGGCATATTTTATTACCCCATTATGCCCGGCCACCCTCGTAGCCAACCCCCGAATCGCCGGAGGAGGAGAACAAAAAGAAATTAAAATATTTACGTTGACGCCGGACCCTGTTTTATTATACTGCTGCTGTCTGCCTTTACAGTAATTTGTAATTAGAGCATCTTGAAAGAAAATTGTTACTTGATAAAAAGGGGAATGTTTTTAGCGATTATTCAGAAACGAGTCTCTTGAGCAGGGCAAGACTAGTGTTTTGGCACTTAGATTCTCTGGCCCATCAGGTATTTTTTGTGCGCAGCTCACGTTAGTTTGACGTCGATAGGCCTAGAAACATATAGTGCAGTCTTTGTTGCTAGGTTTGGAGATTGGCTAAACTTAATAACTTGAGTTGTCACACTTTCCGAAAATAAGTATTTTCTACAGCTGAATTTCACGAAATTGATGCTCTTCATTTGTCTAAACTCGCTTATGTCTAAACTAAACTATACGAGTTAAGTGTGTTGACCAGGTTTTGAGTTGGGACTTGTGTTCACTAATGCAATATCATTTGCAATTCGTGCATGACGACGTTATTTGCCGTTGACAAGTCATGTGTGTAATTCAGGAACAGAAAAGGACCGAAGATGCTTCGTTGGGGAATCTCTGATATGTTGAGCCTCGACAATGACGCAGCTAGAACTTGGCAGAAAATATTCACGCAGGTAAGATTAGATTATTCTATAAAAACTGTCCGGTAAATTATCTTTAATTTTTTTTAGAGCAATCCATGGTGCCATAAAAAAACTTCTAGTCAATCATAGCCCCAATGTAGTATCCATGACCATGTGGAGGTGTTGCGGAAAGGAATGCAATGCTCGAAATCCAAATTGTGAATCAATGGATGCCAGGAATTGACGAATATTTTAGAAAATAGGCTTCAACAAACTGGAAGGTTAGGGGTGAAGTTTTTAATTTTTCGGTTTTTGTCATCCCGAATTCAGGTTTCTATGTGTTTGGAAAATGGCCTGTTCGGAGCATTCCGTTAACGATCTAAATTAGCATGACGGGGCCTTTTCGAGGAAGGTATTTCGTACAGGCATTAAAGTTAAATTAATCATGCTTCTGAAATGACGGATCATACTATTATTGGGTGTTATAATGTGGAACAAACCCACGGTCCTGCAGAGGATCGCGAGTGTTGATTAGCAGTGATTGATCCTGCGTAATTGGGATTTTGAAGGTAAAGATTTATTGTAAAGTGTGCTGATCCGGACACACGACGGCTATATCTATATCTATTGGCTATATCTTATATATTTCTTTAAAAATCTCCAGTAAACAAGAAAAATAAATATCTTGATGATTGCAAGTATTTACTTAAAAAAACGAAACAAAGAAAAAACAGAGGGTGGCTATTTTTTGCCTCTCAGTGTAGTTTGTTGTACAAATGTTTTATTGCTGCTAAAAAAAAAAATCATGTAATAGGGTTCGGTTGTAGGTTGTTCGTATAGGCGTTAAAGTTAACTTAATCATGGTTCTAAAATGACGGATCATACTATTATTGGGTGTTATATGTGGAACAAACATAGCAGTGATTGATCATGCGTAATTGGGATTTTGAAGGTAAAAATCTATTATAAAGTGTGCTGAACCAGAAAAAATCAACGTTACCTCGAGGGTGACCACTTTTTTGCCTCTCAATGTATGTTGAACATAATGTTTTTTTACAATATATAATCAAAATCAACCGATTTACCTACAGGCCTCACGCATTGAAATCATGAGTTGAACGGAGGCTTTAGAAAATATACCAGTAAAGCGAATTTAAAAGAAAAATAGTCATAAATAAGGATTTTACAAATGCCTTTTAAGCAGCAAGTTTGTATCGCTACATGCGATCAAAAACTTTTTTTTTAACGAGGGTTCGCAACAGCAGAGGTTATATCAACCCTCGGGGTGCCGGTGTTTTTGAAAAAAAAAGCCCATTTGTAAGTATGTCGGATTCGAACGCAGGCCCGATGGATTCGAACCAGGGACCTTTACCTTACAGTGATGAGCGCCGTGTCAACGCCTAAACCGTTGCGGCCACCGACGCCCCATCAAAAACTATTCTTTATTATATGACGATATTGTATTTATGGACAACCGATTTCATTGAATTCCTTTCCCGTTGGCCACTAGTCAGAATAATTCAAATGGAAAACATTTAGATAACAAGCATTCATTATAATGAAAGGGTGAAAAACGACAAAAATCCCCGAAAAGAAAGTGTTAAATAACATTTCTGACAATTAACTCCTATTTAATGTTGACATTTCGAAATATTTTTTATTTGCCCCATGAATTGTTTCCTCGGGGTAAAACTTAAAAAAAATAAAAAAAGAAGGTAAACGTAAGAAAATAAATAAAAGATACAAATAATACAAGGGCCGTGTGGGTGGGTCGAATATGGTAATGCGAGATGTCTACCGTGTATGGTATCATTGTTCGTCCCGGTCAACAGACAATCCGGTGATCTGGACAACGTTGACACATGCACGGAGACACTTTCAAACAATAAAAAGGGCGACATCCATCAATCTAATTTATGCCTGGGTCGTTTCAGTTTGGGCTGAGTCCCCTTCGGCCAGGATAAAAATCAAAATGATCCATTTTTATCCATCACTCCGGCCTCTTTTTAATGATTGTCAACGGGATCACGCGATATCGCGTTACTAAGGAGCCACTCTTTCATTAATCGGTAGGCAATGTAACACGTTTTTATTAGATTATAGTCATTTTGTCGGAACAAAACTGATTTTTAGAACGCTAAGGAATATTGACAAATAGTTTACCGATTTTTTTTCTATTTTCTGTCAAGGACGCAATTTCTAACCCGCCTCTGTAAATTTATATTTTTCCGTAGGCAATTAAAAAAACAAGGCTGTGCCTATTTATACTTTTCGCCTAAGAATGTCTAAAGTGTTTGAGAAAATGGTCAAAATCAGTTTATATACAAATTATTCAGAAATCCAATGAGANTCTCAATAAAGATCGAAACGTTGGCACGATAAAGAAAATGTTTTTCTGAAACCTACATCACACCAGACCGCATCTCACGATTTCTGAATAATTATCGAATAACGGTCACTAATCACCACACATTTATATACAAAGTTTATATACGGTAAGGACCAAATTTCATGTTCATCACTCCGCAGATCACATCGAAAAATCTCTAACTTTCAATAGGAAGTTATTGATAAAAACCTTTAGACAGCTTATAAGTCATTACATTTATTTGTACTGCACTCTCAACACGACACACAAGAATGACACAATTACGCAGAAAACAAACACTTTGAGCTCTGAAGACGATATCAATAAAGATCGAAACGTTGGCACGATAAAGAAAATGTTTTTCTAAATCCTACGTCACACCAGAACGCATCTCACGATCTCCGAATAACCATTTATTTTTATTATTGTAAATTTCTAAATGTTAGTACTACATTTTTTTGATAAGTCTTGTCCCTTAATCCCTCCCACTGAGTGCCAGCATTGGCTGTATTCTTATGAACCCTTAGTGCTGTTATACATAAAACTATATTGTGTTCACATTTGTAATCTGTACTAATATGCATAGGCTACAAAAAAAAACATCAAAATATATATTTTTAATAGAGACTTATCTATACACATACTATTTCAACAAATTACTAAATTACTACTGAATTAATTACTACTAAAAACTTAATAGTAGAAGTGATGTATTCATCTTTGAAGCATTGGATGATGTGGAATGTAGTAAAATAGTTCTTTTTTATTATCGTTTTTTCTTTCCACCGATTCGTTATAAAGGAAATTTTAGATAAAACTACATTTTTTGTGAACTAGTTCCGAGTTATTACAGCATCATCGGAGCTACGAAAAGAATCAATCATAAATCAAAATTAGTGGACAAAAAAGGAAGTTTAATTTAAAATTTCTTTTTTAGCAAATCGTGAAAGAGGAAACAAAAATAAAGAACTATTTTACAAATGGTGCTTTTTTGCTTTCAGGTACAAGCTTAACAAAAGGGTTAACACGCTACAAATCTGGCCAGACACTTTCTCACATTTTAGCTCTTGAATCTTGATTCAATAAGTAAAATTAGACCCAGTGAAAAAAAGAAGCTTTGGACAGTAAATTTCAAATAACTGACCAACAAATATGCAGCAATACAAACAATACCGAAACGATAAAAATAATTAAAGTGAATAATAATTTAAAAACCCTTCCTGCAAACAGAAAATATATAAAGCTAGGAAACCACATTGTTTTTAATCGAACTACGAAGAAGATACTGCTATCACAACGATCGCCTGCTGCATGTCAACAAAAAATTACGATTAAACCCAATGAAGATTCCATTTTACACGTGATATAGCTATAAAATGACATCGGTGTCGTTTTGTTTATCACGAAAAATATTTTGTTAGATATTAGTAAATAAAATGCTTATCACATGGCTAACCTACTTACTGTTATTCGTGATGACAAAATAAATTATAAGTTGAGGTATTTTATAGCTATATCACGTGTGAGAATAACTCAAGGAATTTTAAAAGTACAATTCAAAAGCGCTAACAATTCGAATTTAAAAGGACACTAATGAATTTTGATGAAGGGCGATAAATATATTAAAACGAGCATTACTTTTAGACGGTAACTGGAATCCAAAAGTTAAAAATAAAGTGACCGTATTATTGTTGGTGCAGCAACTCGATACCATAGGCAGTTCTAGTTTATAAAAAACAAGATAAAGGGGAGATACAATCACACAACAATGAAAAAAGGGAATCATGCCAGCGTGCACGGGATGAAAAATGAAAAGGTTCCGGGAAATGATGGTATCGCCAACGAAGTGTTAAAGGCGGCCACCCTTCCTATCTAAAACAAATCACTCTTCACTATAATCCCAGATACAGAAGCACAAGGAAACTGAGCCTTCTAATGGGAATTCTAAGTAAATTGGAACTGTCTATAAAAAGAATAAACAATATAAGATATAAAAAAGTACGTTAAATTCATTTGATCAAAGTTTAATAAAACTTGAGTTCTTTTCGCTTTTTTCCGTCTAATTAACCATTTTTTCTCACCAAATTAACTTCCAAATTTGAAATTCATTTTTTTTAAATCAACCATTTTTATTTTGAAATTAACTTTTTTATGTTCCAATTGACCCGTTTTAA